GAAGAGATCCTGCATCGTGCGGGAGATTATATTGCGAAAGATTTTCACAAGGAAAAGGAAGATCCAGAAGTTCTCCGCTTCACGTCTCTACCACCACTGCTGAACGAAGCTCTCGTCCCCTTCCCGCTTTTCCTTGAGCGCCGAGAATGCGCCCCGTTCCTGTTGACCCGGACGAATGGGTTTCTTGACGCGAGAGCGTCTTTCGGTGATTTTCCGCGCGTACGAACAGTGGCCAGATTTCGCCTCGGCTTCTAATTGCGGTCCTGTTAAAACGTTGCATCGTATTCCAGACTGACGTATGCCAGATAAGCAGCATGAAACTTCTGGAGGACGAAGTGACTAGACTTTTTTCTTCCCGACTACGGTCGTCGCGTGGTTAGAGGGTGGACTAGAAACATCTCCCTAATTTGGATCGCCAGAGCGACGAAAAGGGAATAAGGAAATAGTGGGACAGGGAATACATACAGGTATCCGCTCATGTCTGCGATTGGCCCTCATATCTTCGCTGATTGATAGCCGAATGATTGGAGCGGTCTCGATGTAGCCCACGAACTCGCATTGACCAAATTGACATTGTATTTCATATTTGGAAGGAAGCCGACTTCATTCCGGCCGGCGTTCTCCGGGAGCGGCTTCTATGGTCGTCAACCTCTCCGGGCTAATATTCCAGACTGGAAGCCCTCGGGGCTCCTCGCGGTAGGGTCGGAAAGAGGCAGGCCGCGCAAAAAAAAAACATCTCAGAACCTTCTTTCTCACTTTCCTTATCACTGCAGATCAAACATCGATACGGTCTTCTACGCAGCGACGTGTGGTGTATACGGGATGTCCTTGCGCTGAATCGTGTGGAAGACCCGTAGATTCTTCGTTTTCGTTATACCGTTGAGCAGCATCGCGGCATCAATTCCGCTGACGGCAGCCGATGGGCTTTCCTTGCGATCCGCCTCAAAAACGATCCAGACGCCGTATGAGCTCGCGCCGGCAGTGTCTACCGCGTTCAGATGCCTCTGACATCCATAATTCAGACTTTTCGTCTTGTGACGTCGTGGCGGCCTTCTCCGGGATCGCTTCTCCAGAAATTCACAAAAAAAACGGAATCGTAAAAAAACTCGTAGTATTACGCTAGCGATGATACGCCGGAGCCCGATTGATGCATCACTACCCTTCTCACCGATGTGCATAGACTCTCGATTTGCGGTGCGAGTGTTAGGTGTCGGAACTTGCTGGTTTGAGTAAAAGTTTGTGGGAAAGCTTTCGGAGCGCATCGAAACGCGACGCATTTTTCTGCATTCAAGTGTATTCACTCATTGTTCATTCATCTACTGGAGCAGATAGAGGAAGTTGTTAACGAGTTCATCTCGCTGATCTCATGGCCCGAGAACACAGCCAGCGTGTGCCGGAACCCAAGTCAGATCTGTGTTTGTGGGTCACGAGATCGCCTCAAAACAAAACCCATAGACGGAGAAGACGAAATCCACCTCTGGATATCGGATGCAGATAGGTAGGCACCGATTGCCACTCGCAGCCTCTCCGAAAACCGAACGAGTACAGTTATCGCTGCGGCGTGTTCGGGAAAATGTTGGACCGCGATTTCCGGGTGATCAAATGAAAGTAAGAGTCTTCGGCCACATCTCTGCTTCCGTCCAGAAAAAGCAAAAACGAACCGTGTTTCCCATGTTCACGTCTCAGTCGAGGAATCATTGAGTCCGAGATCGCAATCGGATCACTTCAAGCAAGGCAGAAACGCGTGTCGAGAACTCTCCCTACCGATTCCAATCTCCCATATCCGATTCTTCGGTCGGGTAAACCTCAATAATTATTCACTTTCGAGTAGCCGAAACGCGAATCGTCCGCCCGGTCGAAATAGATTCTTCGATAAACTGCACTTCGATGACGCTTTTACGACTTCGGATAATTCTGGGGAGATGAAGCCGATCGAGAATGTGGAAAAAGCCAACTCACCAGGTGAGTGGCCCGGTAGACTTCCAACCGGTCAAGCTAGGGCGCTGGCAAACAATCGTACTTGTTTTTGACGGGGATTAAGCTCGCCGACAGAAAAGAAAAAAACCAAAAGCGGGAGAGGCTTCCGCTAATCCTCGTGCGGCGGCGGTAGCGACGGAGACCGTCGGTGGTAGCCTTTTTGGGGGTGGTGTCGAAGAGATCAACGCTCCTTCTCTTGTGCTCACAGCTTCTCGATATTTCTTACGCTACGGGGGCAAACATTCGCCCATTCAGAGAGGGCAACACAATGCCGCCGCAACCCCCCGCCTGGCTGGCAAGTCCCCTCTTCACTCACTGGCTTCACTCGTTTCATCCTACATCAGAGATCGGAGAGAGCGAGCCGTCGTTGCCGCCGCCGCCGCCGCAGCCGCCGCCGCCGAAGCAACACCAGTACCAGTACTGCCCCTCAGTGAAGAAATGGGCTGAATCCAGGTGGGATGGCGCCGGCCTGTCTGTGTTTGAACAGAATTGAGTTGATCGTGAGGTAGAGATCGCTCCTGCGGTGTATGCAAGCATGTATGTCCTTATATATGGATAGATAGCTAGATGGATGGATGTGTGTATGTGTGTGTGTGTTTGCGCCGAGACGCAAGAGGGGGAACGAGGGCCATACGATGCAGAATGGGCAGAATTATCGCAAATACTAGAGCAAACCCACGGCTGACAATGGCACCGGAAACGTCGGCACAAGCTCTTTGAGAGCTTTCCGATTCCGATATGGTCACTAGTGAGGCGGCGACTACCGAATCGACGCGTTCAGGATTGTTCTGTCCGTCCAGTTTGCCCGATTGCCCGTCCAACTCGATCCGTGTCTGTCGATCCACGGCGCGAGCGCCGGATCTGAGTTCCGAGGCTCCGAGCGCGGCTTTCCTCGTGGGATCATAATTTAAGGAATATTACTCTCATCTCTCCGACGAGCGTCTTATCGCGAAGATTTCGCTCCACTTGCGCGTTTCGTAATTTGAACGCTGTTACATAGGTATCCCTTTGTTCACATCTGAAATATGCAGATTTCGGTTGATTTTTGTAAGCTCGCGTGAGAGTGTCACTTGGCTCGGGAGAAGCTACAACCTGCGACAACGCTCACACAATTTAGAGAGGCACCAACTAGGAAAATGAAGAGCAAACCTGACAGATTTCGAAGCTCACCAAAGACATCGCATTTCCCTCGAAGAAGACCATGGAAGATATGGGGAGTCCGATCCAGACTTGGATGGAGGGAAGTCTAATACGGAATTGTGATTCCGGATCCATCGGCGACGAGGAGCAAGCCTGTGAAATTATCGCGTATGCTGGAAAGTACAGGAGATAATTCACTCGCCGATGGAATAATCATCAAATTATCGTTCTCCTGTTCTCAGTCGAGCCTCCGTCGAAACAAATCGATCCGCGCTGGAGCCCTCGTTCCCAGAGCGTATGAGCAATCTCACATATCAGATTGTTCGTAGCTCCCACAGTCTTTATTCAAAAAACGCGAGTAAGTAAGTATACACTGAAAATAATTCTGATTGTTTGTTGATACAGCGAGTGTCTTGTCCACTCGGTACTCTAAGGGCATCTTTAGCACTGATAAACACACTCCTGTGTGATTTCGCACAATAATCTAAATGCAGGTGCTGGAGGAAGCAAACCTAAACTATTTAGGACACAATTCCCAGTACAATGAGGAAAACTACAATGCTTCTACGACAGAACAACCTGACTACGAGCTAGCGACAACTTGACCGAGCTGCCGACTGGCCAACGAACAAGCGAAACATAGGCTCGATTCGCAGCCGGAAATCTCCTGGCCCCCAAATAAAGGTCTCCTTCCTTTAGGGTTCGGATCTGACTGACTGGCTTGGTGGATTAGGGGCATGAGGACTTCGCTCGAATCGGGGAGATGAGCGGTTTCCTCGAGAATTCCCGCCCAAGATCTGAAGCGATGAATGTTCCCCCCTTCGACAAATGCTTATTTCAGACTCTGAAGGAATCAGGTCGATTCCTATGACTTCTTGGATTTTCGGAAATATTTCATTCGGTACCCCGTCGCGGAATTCTACGGACTCTTGAAAATGAAGTCCGTCCGGAAGCGAGGATCCCTTCCCCGGTCGTCTGAGAAAGTAGCAAGCAGATTATAACGGAATCGTTCGATGAGGGAGCAAGTGTTTTTGCCTGTTCCGGAGATCAACCTTCAGCCCGCCTGCCTGTCTCTCTTCAGAGCTGTTTATCCCGCATTGTTGCGTACCCGCCCAGCGACCCGGTTCGATACAGACATCGGTCCGCTCGCTGACTGGCCTGCTTACTCGCTACTGGTAAGCAACAACAACCCTTCAATCGTGAAAGAGTATAAAAATGTTCAAGTAGCTCCTCTAAGTACACAATGCAGCGATGCGGCGCTCCGATACTTCCGCATCCCACACCTTCGATTCAGCAAAATTCTCTCATCATCTCCTTTATTCTTTTACAACAGCGAGCAGAGTTCGAGATCCGATTTTCGAGAGCTACTTTTGCTTACTTCCCTAAAATACCGCCCAAGGTCATCGGCAGCCGCGGCTGAAACTCCGCCAATGCGTAGGCACAATGGGCTGTGTGATTAAGGCAAGTTCGACCTCCAAAACAGGAGAACCAGGAACGCACAACTGCCGCTCACCGAATCAGAGACTCGCGGGCGCGTTCGTCGGAAATAATCGAATTCCAGATACCACGATAAATCCACAGACAGGCCGCGATCGAGAATCGTCAACTTGGCAGCCGCCAGCGAGATAGGACTTGGCACGCCGTTGGTGTTCGAAAATCGAATTTTCGACGCTAAAATTAATTTCTTCCCCTGATACGAGGAGCCGTCTCTCCTGGTAATGTGTCTGTTTTGAGTTCGAAAGCCCGCTCTCGAGAAGCGGTGGATGTTCATCTCAGCTTTCGTGATGCATGGCAAACTCTCAGCGATGTTGTTCTGATGTCATTACGCTTGCAGACAGAACCGCTTCTTCATGTCGACGACATCATCCGATGGAGATGAGATTCAAAACAGTCGGTGGTGCTGGAAGATCCCTCGTATTTTTTTACTTTTATTTTTGTCTCTACTGCGCGGCACTTCACTTCTGCGCTCCGACGAATTGGTGAGTATCTCCACAAATGTATGCCACGGAAGGCCCTCGCCGATACTAGGCGTAGTTTCGCCTCGGGTAGCGCCACTTTACCGAATCCGCGGAGCCGCAGCACCACGGATGTCCGAATGTTTTCGGGCGTCTGTCGAAGGTGAATGAGCCCTTGAATATGACACTCCGATCGATAATTCATTCTGATAAGGTATCTATGCTGGTGAGTGCGTCAACAGCGAGCCATCCTGGGTTCCGCAAGTCCCAAATGCTATTCGGTATTCATTACGACGAACTGAGTAAATAATCACGGAAGTGTTTAGAAACCGTTTGTTCCACTGAACGAATCGATTGATCGTCGGATGGCGGCTTGTGTTGACCGTTTCCGGGGAACTCCGAATCGACAATAAGAAAAAACTCGTAGCGTTGTCAACTGGTGGAACATGCCGATAAAAAGCGTCAAAATGTATCCGCCACTTATGACAGAGAGGATTTTTCCTGGTGGGAGAACTCATACAGAATTTCGAACGTAATTACACCTCCCTGTACTCACTATTTTATGAGTCTCGGTTATATCTCTGTTAATAAAGATCTAAGTGTCTCCAAAGATCAGAATGACCACTCGGAGAAGAAGGGGTATTCATCGTGGATCCAGTTCGGTCCCGTCTTGGACCTGTATCAAGACTACAAGATTCTCCGGAGCGAAGAGTTGGGGCCAGAATAGCTAGAGGGGTATCCATTGAAACCACAGCAGTTGATGAAATTTCGTCGCCACAGCAATAAATCTCATCGAGGAAAACAAGTGATTCTTAGCCGTCGACAAGCGTTTGCTGAGTACGAGCTTCATTCGGGATCCAGCTCCACGGTGATTCCGGGGGGAGAAACCGCTCGGGAGTAGATGAGATGACGACGGAACGACTTGAGGAGAGCGATCACTCCTGAAAAAATCCGAGTCCTTTTCCGCGAACGCAAGAATCAAGTTGTTACGACGGAATCCCTCATTTCGGGGAATAAGGTTCGCTGCGGATTCCCTTCTCAGGTGTCACGACAAGAGAGTAAAGGATGTAGAAATTTGAAAGTTAAACACACCATCAATCCGAGTTCATGGCATCGCTTCCCTACAGCCGGATTAAAGTCGGCCGAGCTAAATTCGCCGTGCGGGAGACGCCATGTCAGAACGCCGAACGTCGTACTGCGCCAATGGATTTTCGTTTGTCTGTCCACGGAGAAAGAATGGTCACGGGGTATGCGAGATCAGTCGGAAACAAATCTCGCAAGGACACATACCAATCCCTCCTGCCACCGACACCGAGGATGAATTGATGTCGATTCGTTCGAATTCCCGATTCGAATGATCCTACTCCGCCTCGCTCGAATTGATCTCAATTCTCGCAGCTCGCCCATTGACTCCGATGTTCGACTGGAAGTGTTGCCTGACCCAATGAATCTGCCGTTTCTAGGAGGAAACATCGGTATGTGTACCTGCCGCCCTTTCCGGAATCAGACTCTGACCCCCGCTCCCCCGACTCCCAGTAGAGTCCACAGGATTCTTCGTTGGGGGGGGGGGGCTAGATCGGGTCCTCGCATGGGGCTGATTTCCAACATGGCGACCCGCTCCTATACCTTAGTATTACGAACTCTCAATCTGGGTGGGGGCCATAGCCCCTCCTCCGCGGACGCGCCTGCAGACTCCAGAATTTTTTTTGTCTCCAGTGCTACGATGAAACGCTAGCGAGAAGCTTTTCTTTCCGACACTGATTACCCGCCTGTTTTATCGTGAGCGGTCCGGACCGCATTTGACGCTGCCGGCCCGGTCGTGGGATACGAAGCTCGCGCTCGGTGTCCACGTTCGCCCATTCCACTGCTTGTTTCGTTTTCGTACAAGAGATCCGTTTATCTCTTGCTTTCGTTTTCGAATCGAATGGCATCGCCGTCCGATAAATCGGCGGCAGCTTATCACTGCACATGGATCTCCGCGGCGAGGTGCGACGCCCTCGAACACAGAACGCGCTTCTGGGGCAAGCGTCGGACTTTACGAGCCGTGAGTCTCGTAGCTCTCTGATAGAGCTGGGACGAGTCGACGGCGCGCAATGAGCAGCTCTGATGGTAAATTCATGGAATATCAGCAGAGGTGTGACGAGAGGAATTCCTGCGATCGAAAGTAATTTCGTTCGTCAGTTGGCTACGGTTAAGTTGAACTTCAAATCATGGACGAGTCAATTCTGGGTTTTGATATTCTGGCTCCCGGGATTCTGGATGTCGGAGCGGTGCCCTTCACATAGTAAAAGTTGCCACCGAGGGAATTTTCGCCGCAGATTTCTCATCTAAGCTAGTCAGCCAGTCAGTCTCTAGTCTTCATCTAGGTCGGCGCCGGAACGCTTTGTGGCAAGACGTCTGCGGGAGAGGGACTGGCGGAGCACTGAAGGGCTCAGTCCCTTCGCTGTAGCTTGCGACGAAGCTCCCATAGAAGATCTGTCGGCTCAGGAACTTTGTCAAGGATGGATGTGACTGTGTTTTGTGCTGAGTGTGCTCACGAAAACTTCCTCTAAGGATAGCCGTCATGGCGTACAGCCCCAAGCAGGGCGGGGAGCAGGAGACCATGTACAGATTCCTCACGCCTGGTATGACTTCCATTAAGCTCCGGAGCTCCTTTATATGTTAATCAGCACAATGACGTGCGATACTTCTGGTGTTAGCGATATCTCTGCTACTGCTGTCACGGAAGCCATCGCAGGGAGATTCTTGTTAAGGTTCCACAAATGTTAGGGTCCTGTCTGGCATCGCGCAAAACTCGAAAGACGCTTGCGACAGATTGGATATTCGATCCGCCAAGATCGATTCGAGGCTTCTCGCTTTCTCACTCCGGAACCGTGGCGAGAAAAAGTTCCACACTGAGCGGTATCCGGAATTCCTTCACGGATCTGAAAATATCGCCTGACAGAGTTTCGGTGGCCGTGATCGGACGAGTTTTGGTTTATGTATCGCCTTACCACTCTGACTGCTCCGAAAGCCAGTCGGAATCAAGCTTGAATCGCACTGCTCCTGCCAGATAACAGTCATCATCAGGAAGGTTGTCCGAGGCTTTCGCCGCCTGCGCAGAACTTATTGAAGAATGTTCTTGATGTTCTTCACATGGCTTACAATAATTTCTGTCGGCGTTCGGATCGTCGGCGATGCAGCTCGACAGACTTCTGACGTACTGAGCTATGCAAAGTAACTGAATATGCTTCCCTTGATATGATAAGCGTATTCTACGAGTCGCGAGTCGTGACACCGAGACACGCATCGAAAGCGCGAGCAGCCTTAGGGCCAGAAGTCTTCACCAGCTGTTGACCACGGAAAGCAGAAATTAGATTCCCGCCTCCGAGAAAAACGCGGCCACCGACGGCAACTGGGCCATCGAAGCAAGCGGGTCAGCGCTTGGAACCCATCGGCGTCTTCAATGTTGATAAACACAACAAGGCTTCCAAGTCGAGAAAAACGATATTGAGCGAGCGCTCAGACGTCGCCGTCATTCCGAAATTCGGTAGACTTCTACCGAAAGGGGCGCACCAAGCACCCGAACCTGTTCTCATGCAGAAGACAGAAAGCCATACGCAACGTAGAAGTGACAGACAAACTTCAAGGGAACCATTGACATGGCCACAATGTTGATGCGCTATTTGAAACGTCTTCGCTTCTTAATTCCATTCAGTCAGGCACATCAAGGACGTCCGAGCGAGTGGTCAGATAAATTCCACGATTCCATCGTCTACGCCGCGAAGTTCGGTGTTATTCGATAATGAGAGAGAAAATCTCAGAAAGACGACTATTCAGGCCTGTGTCCGTCACTGCGCCCACACCGGGCATATTTCGTCGCTAATTAAGGCAGACTCGCCAGAATCTCGGCGCAAAAATCCTCTTTGCTCTAATTCTACTCATACATATCTTATCTATGATATCTTTCGTTGGGCAGACGTCTACCGACGACTCACGTGGTCTCGAGAATCGATCGAATTACGAAGAGATCGTCCTTCATCAGTACAGATGAGTCTTCTATCATAGTCAATGCTGCTCTGTCGCAGCGCAGATTCTGATTTGCTATGAGAAGGCGGCAGAAATCCGTGGAGTGACACTTTCCGAAGTCTACCGCTACCTTTTCCCTTTTCTGGAAGATCTATATAGGGCTCTCGGGAAATTCCGGGGCTCATACGACCCCACCGCGAATGACTCGACTGCTCGTCGATCTCTCTCGGGATGATAATTTCCAGGCAAAAAAAAGCTTCGAGTATGCCGCTGCTTCCGCATGAAACGATGAGTAGGGGCGCCTCATGGGGAACTCCGTGGTAATCCGTGATATCCGATGGTTTCAGGAGAAGCGGAACAGCAGGAGGAATCCCGACAAGCGGTCCGGGAAGGAATTTTCTCGCGAAAGTAAGCGTTGCGCAAAGAGGTCATTCAGAAACGGGGCGGCTCGGGCCACGATGAAAATCTTAATTGCCTCAAGCTCGTCGGAAGGTTCCGGAGATGTGGATAGTGCCTTGAAGAACGCGAACCTCTGTCGCTTGCAGGTTCCATCGACTGTCGGTTATGTACATGTCATTTTTCACACCCAGCCAGCCCCACGAAGATCCGCCGGTTTGCCGTTTCCTTGCATCATGTCTCGTTATCATGGGATTTACTACCGGTGAGTCGGTCTCAGGATCGGATCGAGCCGAACTGAGAATTTCAACACTACAATCTAAGTTAATACATGGGCGAGGGGAGGGGAATGATCGATCGATGGCAAAAATCCGCGAGAATGATTCTTCTAGATGGATTTTGCCGTTATTTTGAGCAGCAGCGTACCCTCTTCATCGTCGGACACAAGATTACGGCATCATGAATTCTCGTCGTGCGCGTGGCCACCCGCCGTGAGCGAAGCTCCGATGTTACAGTCGTTTCCTGCATGCGCGCGACCGACTGGGCATTGGAGCATTCTTTTCGGAGATTGACGGACGCTTTTAGAAGTCGATCCTTTTCAAAATCGGAGAGGGCGAAATCCAGAATTCCGGCGTACGAGCCCCGATTCTTTCTTGCAGGAACCGCCCTGGTAGCATTATTTTTCTACATGGGCTTCGCGTACGGCATAGATGAAGGTTTCATGCTAGGAGTATTCGCGTTGGGCAGCTGGGTGTACGGTGAGTAGAATAATTCCTGTGTCCAGCGGACTGACTTCACGGACTCGATTCCATCTCGCGGCAATGCTCGGAGGCTGCCAATCGATCCTGACCAGTGATTCGAATTCCGGATGATTCGGGAAACGATATTCGAATCGCGGTCATGCATTTTCCAGGATTGGTGACGTACTGCTGTAAAACAGGCTGCTTCCGACCATTGGACGAAAGCGACAGATCGACGCCGTCTTCGATCCCGTCCTCCTCATCGCTGACTGCTTTCCCGACAACCACCCAAGACCCGCCGTCGTACAAAGAAGTCACTGAAGATCCACCAAGCTATCAAGAAGCTCTGAAAATGATCCAAGCTAAAGGCCAATGTCCGGTGTCAACACAGTGCGAAATACCAAAACATCAGCTTAAGTTCCCTGTCGAAACATGCCACAGTGTTCTTACCGTTTAGTCTACTCCTCGCTCACACTTTGCTCGGTGTTCCGACCGAACATTCTAAACGTCACAGGACGAAAAATCGTCGCACACGAACTCATTGCCGCATTACTTTTACGAGAAGGAACATTCATGCCGAGGATTGAATGCCAGAATCTCTATTCTGCCGACCGATTTCCATAGGCGCTCCATGATCGGAGCGGGCTCACTTTCATGAACCGCAGGAAAAAAGGGGAAAACCGTGATCCATCGGAAGAGCAGTCGACTACCAGAAGATCGAGGTCGACCGTATGTTTCTGTCTTTCAATTGCTTGTCCCGCGGCAAGTGAATTCTTGCCCTATATACAACGATAGTAGATTATTAAATGTATCCAAAATGACCGGCAGAAGGAACCAATCGTTCTGCGTACTGCCTTAGTGAGATTGTAAAATTAATGTATATACAAACACGATCCAAGGATCTTTAGTTACCGGAATGAAAAAAGCAGCAGTCGAACGAAATAAAATATCTCGTGATTTTATCGAGAAGCTCGGAACCTCGACTTGATAATTTCGCGGAGCCGAGCAATATCCGGCGATGAATACGGAACATTAAGAGGCGACTAGAATCATAATTGGACGAAAATAAATGAAAAGCAAAGTCCGAACGATGGAGCTGTCGGGAAGAGGGTGCTCGTCGGAAATCCGAAAGCCGAATTCTTGCTTCTTTACGTGACTCCCCTCCGGTTTTCCTCTACAGGGAGTGATCGGGTCAAACTATCGATCAGACGACCGGAATAGTGCAAAGGAGGAACTAAAGACGAAACTAGGTCAGTACGACGTCCAATGGTTTCCAGTTTTCGCCGGATATCGGGAGAAAACCCCGCGACAGACATCGGCGATGCCATACGTGGTGCGGGACGACGTCAAATAATTGCATGAGCGTAGAGACCTGTATTTGAATCTTCAAATCGAAAACGAAAATTCGACACGACATAATACAAACATTCGAGACCAGAGTCCTTCCGGGAGGTATGCTCGTGGGTCAATCGCTTGTTCCATTCCGGGTCGTCCAGAAGCGCATATGGAGCAATGATTTCGAATTCTGTTCCGACATGACATCATCCGGAGTCGACTACATTTGTCGGTGCTTCGACGACGATGGTGAAAGTCGCCACCGCTGCTGCAAGCGAGCTGCAGTCGTCTACGTCGAAAACGAGAGTTAGCGCATTTGCGATGCAATTATATAAGTTGTCTAGCCTCCGCCAGATGGCGATGTGAATGCGGGCGAACCAGTAGAATTAAGTTCCACGAGGGCAAGGGCAGGTCTGATTTCAGTCTCATTAAAGCTTACCTTTCGGCATCTGTTATCCAACGTTGTGCTGTCAAGGACTCGATGATGACTCAGAGGTGAGAATGTCTTCAAGAAGTTGTCCCATGAATTCTCGGGACCCGTCGGATAGAATCTTGGAGGAAAAATGCAAGCGGATCTCTCCTCTGGCAACTGGCGGATCCAGGGGGGAGGCAATCGCGCCCCGCCCGTCTCATCTCGACTGTCTACACCTCCGATGCCGAAAGAGAATTCAGGACCCATCCATTTTTTTCCCTCCAGCTCTGGAGCCCTGGATCGCCTGGAAACTTTCCTGTAACCGCCACCGCCTGTGGCACGCCAGACTATCCAAACTTCCGACAATAGTTTACAGCACTACCCAGCGAGAATATCCATGGTCATCTCCTCAATTCAATGACGGCACGCACGATTTTCTTTCTCAGACCAATTCGTTCATTTATTTCGCTGCATAGCTTATCAAGAAAAATCATTCACTCTTTCTCCAAGTTTTGTCGGACATTCGCCCAGCTTGACTGCCTTACTGAGTGATTGACTGGAGTAAAAACATCCTTGGAGTGCCTAAAATTGTCAACACGGTCGATGCCCATTGAAGTTAATAATCCGCATCGTCATCATAATCACATAGGCTGGGTCCTTCCCTGACGAAGGGGACAAAGTTCCGACCGGCTCCATCCGTCGATAGGGTGAGTTAAACCAGCAATTCCGATGATTTACACTCCATTATGGGTTTGAAGGCGTGGACTGCAGTCGACGTGAGTCGGAATCATTTCTGCGGTTCGGCACAGTGGGTACAAACCCCAATGAAACATGCGTGCGACGGTTATGGACTCCAAAGCTGGGGGAGACCGTCGCCGGAGTTGCCCATCGCCATGTTCCTGCTTGATCCCGCTCGACGTATGAATCCCTCCTATTTATTTACAGAGGGAGCGGCAGTGGTTAAGAGACACAGTCACGCAAGGATGATAACGCACGTTGACGAAGCTTCTGCCCTGATTCTGGTGGTCAAGCACTTCGTGTGAACCGGATGTTAGGATCGTGGGGGAATTGATTTCCGCAAACTCCCCCGCTTGGCCCCGTTGATTCCTTGATTGGAAGATCAGTTCCTCGCGTATATTTGGACTCTGATCGAGACCAGATACCGGCTCTGCGGGCCATGAAGCCGAAACAACCGAGTTCACAATTTCCATCGCCGAAAAGATTGCAACAGGGAGGGCGAGGGGGAATTTGCTCGAAATTTGACAGGAGTCGAACAGACGCAACAGCGTCAACGTGACAGAGAGACGTCGACAGATATGTGAGAGTCGGTCAGCAAGCAGCACACCACCGCGATCGATTGGTATATAAGCTAGATACTAGATTCATAAATAGAAAGATGAGCTTAAGAACATGGATTCAAGGATCCAAAAACAAGAGGAAAAACAGAGGATAACCCTTCTTAACGAAATGGTCTCTATTCTGAGGAGGCACGGCTCCGACTGAATACAATGAGCAATTACACGGGAAACGGAAGCATAACCACTTCGAATACGGATTTCGCGATTCAGAATCCAATCAGAGCCGCCTCCGCGGCGGCTTAAAAGTTAATATAGGGTGTACAACGGAACGGACAACTTGAGGTGAACGAATCGTAATCTGCCAACTATTCCAATACGTTTGCGTCAGCCGCATGTTCTCAAACCGAGGACCCAGACACCCGAGCCCAGTTTTGGGCACTTTCGCAGCGTCAACCGGAGGACAAAAGAATGATGAGGACAAAGGGATGATGAGGACAACAGGATGAAGCTCTCCCCTCAAAATGGAGCTAATGAACCGCCGCACATCCCGGGCCCTGATAAATCTGAGAAGGTTCGATGCGGATTTTTCTCGGTCATCGCTATATCATGAATACTCGCTGTATCCAGACGTCGAGCAGGCAAATCGGACTCATACACGATCTCGTTCGTCGATGTTTCCTCTCATTCAGATCGATCTATATCTTCGAACGAATAATTTACATTTACTTATAGTGAAATCTTCTTCTTTTTTAGAGCCTAGCTTCATGGGACACGAAAGGGGTCGATTCCCCAAGTTTCACCCCCAAATGTGATACGGAATTTCTCGGCTGCCGACGAGTGCTCGATGGGAACGATGAGTTAAATGCTCAAATCCCTCCTCTGCGTCCCATTTCAATCGATATATGCAGTCGTCGGAGCCGCCGCCTCTCTGCCGCCTGATTTTAGACGTCATCCGCTGAGATTCTTCTCAGATCCTGTGTGCCCACGAATGGCAACATCAAATTGCACTAACGTTCAAGTGTTCCCCAGGTTCAATATGCATTTAACGATATTCGCAATATAAGACAGCTGGGTCAATCATCATTGCGATTGGATAGTTTGTGGAATTTCGCCGAAGATAAGCTTTTTGACTCGGCCACCTGTGTTCTTTGGTCTCTGTGAAGAGTTGGTGGCTGGTACGGCTCCCAATTGATTCTCTAGACTCCGAACGGACACCTCTATCGATGTGGGTTTTCTGTTTGCTTATAGTTTGGGTATAGGTTCGCACTTGTTTCTCCAGTCACTCAACGGAAGCGACGGGCGCTCCGCCGCCGAATCCGCATATGACGATGGATGCCTCTGCCTGATCGTCATTGACGAATGCGTATACCTGTGCTCGGTTCAGAGCGTAAATTGATGCTAAACAAATTCGATTAAATTCATTCGTCGCCTATCAATTCTTCTACAGGACCTACTTCAATGAGACTAAGTATGACCCAAGCGAGTGGATCGATGATGAGCCGGCAGAAAATTTCACAGGCTCTTGTAGATTTCCAAGCGTTAAAACTTGGGCTCGAAAAAGTTGATCATACCGCTCAGACATCCTGTCACGAGGAGGTGCTGGGTGGGCGAGAATTTTGAGCTTACGACAAAACTACCAGTGCATTGCAAGCTTGAGATCGGAGTGAGCTTACGGGGCGTTCGGGGAACTCGATCAGCAAGCTCTGAACAGCTATCGTCGAAAGCGAACAGTCGGTATCCCGAATAGTACGGACTGCAGATAATCCTCCCGTCAGGACTGAAGCAGAGTTCTTTGATGAAACCTCGGCCCACGTTCGGTTCGTCTAAGTAGTACAGGAGTCTGGGCTTATTGTATTTCGCGGCTAGAGACTCTTCTTGGAACGGTCGTCCATGGGCTCCTGAGTGCATCGAGCTCCGGTTGATGAAGACGACTCGGGGGTCGCTGGGTTGACCCCGGTTGTTCGCAGTGATGTACAAGGGTATCTCGTGAACTCGGGGTCGTCGGACCTCCACGCGGGGATCAACGAGATCACGAGTAGAAATTTCGAATATCCGGACGCCCCGCGATGGTGATCGTTCGTCGTTCGCCTCCTCCGATGAATCGTCTTCCAAGTCGCTCTGCTGTTGGGGAATTATTCGAATGAAACGACGATACGAATCAGGCACGAGGCGGGCTACCGCTGCGATGCGGAAACTCTATGAGATCCTCGCGACGGGATTCTACTCGAATCTGGGCATGGACTATTCACTGCGCATGGGGAATTCTGATCGACCGACTAGGAAGAATCTGCTCGATCTGATTTTTCTTCGAAAAGTAAAGCTCTCACCTCCCCGACGGATTCGATTATGCTAACTTGTGGCTGTTGGCTCCTGTAGTTGTCGATCCGGAACCGTAATCCCCGAACGTCATAGTCTTCAGCCTGTGGGAAAAAGTCAATACCATGAACCATGATGAATCAAGCAAGTCATGGTGTAAGGAGAATTCGATGCATGTCGATGTCGCTGTCGTTCATATTTCGTTCTCCCCACCCGTTAGAAATCTAAAACTGCAGGATATTATTCTTCCCAGCAAGCCGCGACGTCTAGCAAACACATAGCAGCTTGTAGCCTTGATGGGAGGGGTTGTGAATAATATGGCCTTCCGCCTCCATCAGCATGAACAGCCGCGCAGGAATTACGCCATTGCCAAGGCTGACGGCGGACGGCAGCGTGCAGTCAGGGACCAGGAATGACCTTCTTTTTTCGACATTGACAACAGAATCAACACGGAGGAGGATATATTTAGTGTTCACCGCCTATGTGTGTAAAGAGCGAGCACCATCTTCCGATCGGATTTTCTTTCCAACAGAATCCAGCACTTCGCATCGCCACGAGTGAGCGGTCGAGCTAATTCTGCCACCGACATGTGTTCCCGAGCAATGATTCCGCTCCACCAGCGAGGCTTCAAGACTTGGTGAGAACGAAGCTGGTGGAGCGAGAAGATCGCGCCCGAGATCCTTTCAGACAAGCGGAACGGGATCGTTCTTCCGCCGATTTGTCACCAGGCATGGCTCTTCCAGCGTCATGGTACCCCTCCCAGAGACTTCCCGGAATCGGAGTCTCGATATTCATGAATTTATGTCTCTGAGATCTCCCGAGACTCACCTCATCGAGTCGGTCGGGATTCCTTTGGTAAATGCCGAATAGTTCAATTCTGGGTCGTCGTCGATCCGGTTCGGATCTGTGCGCAGAGTGTCGGCTCCTCTTGCGAGAGCTCGACTTCTCGGCTTCCGGAGCTTCCGATCTGTCCAAACCCTGGATGTCGTGCACGCATGTCCACTGCAATTGCGTCATGAAATGCTATTATAGCTGCAATTTCGTTCAGTGTTTATGGATTTGTGGAGAGAATAATAATCATCAGAGGAAACAGAATGCCAATGTCATCGTGCTTCCGAATAGAGAATATTTTCTGACAAAGAAGCCTTCCTGAACGCCGATGGAAAAACGGCGGTGCTCAACGCACAAGACGCCTCCCAGGGTCGCTACATCGATGTTTCCGCATAGAAAACGAGGAAGAGCGTTCTTCCGTACGTTCTGTCTTCAGACAAGATAGACTGATTGAGGAAAAAATCGGGAACTTCTGGGTCCTGGGCTCGGAACTCACCTCTCCCATCTCTTCCATCGAGGTATTCCGGCTGAGAACGCACCATCCTTTCGGATGGACTTGAAGGGAGGAGATAACCTCGGCCTTATCGCCGAGAGGAAAATCTGTGATGAACTCTATTCGATTTCTAGTTGCCGTCAGAATCCTTTCGCAGTCTTCTATCGACGTTCCGTATCCTATTTGATTGCGCTGCAGAAGTCTGATTCCGTCCGGCTGAATACAGATTCGTCATGTGAGTATTTTCTTTCCGATACGTACCGGATCAATTCTCGTGAGGATCGTGAATTCAATTTTTGGTGCCTCAGGCTCATCGGACACTCACTTGGAATTTGCTCAAGTCATCTTTGAACGTATTGAGATCTAGATCATGAACAACTATCAGATAACCATGAGTTGTGCAGAGGATCATTTTGCTCTCGTCGGGAACCAGACGCATCCTCATCAATCCGGTATGGTGCATGATACGATTCGATTGCACGTCGTACTGCTGTCCCAAACTGCAAGCGGAAAATTCTCTTAGCGGGAGCGTGTACGAGCACATGAGAGGAAGAACTCCATTCGTTTTGGCCTCAAAACATACATTCAGAATACAATAAATTAAAAACCATCCCGTGACTCACTTATTTATGTCCCATTTTTGTATATTCCCGTCAAATCCCGATGTTATGAGTAAGTTATCTTTCTTAGAATACTCGATATTCTTCACCCAGCCCTCGTGACCCTGAAGCAAGTTCACGTGCATCCGAAGAGAACGGACGTCCCACAGTTTGATCGTCATATCGTCTGAACAGGAAGCGATCACCTACGAACAGAAAAAGCAATGAGACACCCACCTCGACGTCGAATTTTCGGTTATTCTGGAAGGAGCTTCTGCGGATTTTTTTTCTCGAGCTTCGACAAAAACCGACACTCACCCTACTATCGAGGAATCGCACGTAATTTACACAGTCCTGATGAGCATCGGTCACGCTATGCACGAGTTTGTGCGACAGGGGGTCCAAGACTAGAATCCGCCTCCGTTCGGTGGCTGCTACCAGAGTTCTACCATCGTCGGAGAACGAGAGGTTGAAAATTCCCCCGTGAGCCGTATTCGTCGAATCACTGGGGAAAGGGGAATCTGTGTTCCCCATGTGGGAATATATACGCCGAATTCCCGCGCCCATCGGTTCCCGGGACCGAAGACCCAGTTGGCGATTGTAGACACGCTGACACCATGTTTGCTGATGACCCGGACGTCGGGTGTTCTCCGACCGTCCCCGTGTCAACATCTGGAATGGAATGAGACCTGTTGTCACATCGGGTTGTGCCTTCACGTCCTGTTGTGGAGGTTTCATCCACTTCTGACGCTGACATCGAAGGGGGAATCGGCTCTCAGGCTCCAACAGTTTCATTCGCCATAGCGGATCCCGCAGCCGGCACCTTTGTGATTTCGTCAAGAAGTCACGGCGGTATCCGACGAAGCGATCCGTTGACGAATTCGGTGAGATCGGTAATCGACAGAATCGAGCTCGGCACCCAAGCTCTATCTTGAGCATTAGAAGCGCTCGCTCGCTCATCCATTCCTGGTCGAGACTAAACAAAAGCGCATAGGATAAAGGAGCTCACGACTCGACGGCCTCCGCCGAAGGGTACACTCTGTGAGGTCGTGCATCCGCAGCACTCTCCGGGGTTTCCAAGTCGAAAAGCTCCCGTCGGGGAATTCGTTCGAGAATATCTGGAATTGATATCGGATCTGCGATCCCTCGGACCGGAGGCCGTTCCGGGAAGTTAGACAGCAAACTTTCGAAAGGAGATCCAATTAAGCTGAAGGTCAACTTGATCCAAGTTCTAAGCAAGATTATTGATCCAGCAAATTCATGGGAGTCCGTTATTAAAAAAAAGACGAATTCGCACCATATAGATTGGCGCCTGTTTCGAGCACGTGAACGTATACTTGAAATCCGATTCGAGCATTTTCAGGAGGCGGGATAATCCATGCAGAACGATGTATTTGAATTACAGGAATGTCTCTTCATTGGTTTTTGAAGAAATCGTATGTTTCCTCTGGAAACAAGTACGTTCTTGACGGAATAAATCGATGTAGCGTATGTGAATGAATCGGGCAAACGGATAAAATTCGCTGCGGTGCGCGGCGCCGATGTTTGCAAGGTCCAGGCCATGTGATGACCTCCCCTGTTGGGGCTCGGCCGTGAAAGATTCCCGGCAAGCACCCGTCGCTGCTACCGATTCGTTACGATCCTGCCCGCCTACATTTAGTATTTCTCTGCGTTAAAATAGGGAACGCGTTCTCGAATCCTCTAATTCGACGTCCACGGTCCCCAGATGGCACATTCGTAACATTTGCGTCGGGATCTCCTCGGAAACTCCCGGACAATACTTTTCTACTCGGATTCACAGGTTGCGGCAAGGAATATTTCGACGTCTAAATAAGGATTCGTCGGGGAATGATCGCGATCCTGGACCTGCTATTTTATCTCGTGTTCACAACAGAGCCCGGACCCTCGAACGCCGACCCGAGCAAACTCTTGCAGCCTCGGTCTTTGAGAAGCACGTTGGGAACCCGCGGAAATTTCGCATCGTGGTCGGAACGTATCCATTCGAATCGAGGGAACTCACGCAGTGAATGACGAAGTGCTCCGGACAGACATACTCCACATCGTCGAACATCTCTGCCACACGCAGAGTTCACTCGATCTTGAACACCAGATCACAGAACACTTTTCGTACAGAACGCACACAAACAGTAAACGAGCTAACGGCGACCACCGCAGCAGCACAAAATTCTATGGCGCCGAATTGGGTATAGCCAAGTAAGCAAGCCATCCAGCAAGGGAACAAGCCAGCGATCCACCGTCGAAAGCCCTGAAGTCAAGGTCCATCGTCGAAGGTCTAACGGTGGCTGGCGCCGCTCAGAACGTAAGCACAGGATCAGTCGCCGGCAGACGACCGTTCAGACATCTGTGTCTGAGGGGCTGGAATCAATGATCAACACATCGCTCACGCTGGCCCCTCGAAAATCGTACCCCACCTCGTTCTCGGGAATCAGGCCACCACCGAATCCAGCTAACCAGTGGCAGTGACCAACAACGCAGAAGCCGTCGACGTTCTTTATAATTGTTGAATACTAGCCAATTGTGAGCCGAATGGATCGAGCGTGTGCGCGAGAAGAGTCTGTCGAGCTCCAGGTTCCTCTCTTGACAGCTTGAGCTCTCGAAATCGGGAGGCAGCCAGTCCAAAACCCATATGGCGGAGGAGAGCATGGCAAATACGCACTTTCAAGTGGCACCGTTCGTCATCGTTCCTGTGGAGTAGAAAGAACAAAGTTCTGGACGAAAAGCTCACCTCGAAGCGAGGCCCGAAGCCGTCCTCCGTAGCGCACCTCGGCTAACCAAACCCAGTTCGGGAATGGTTTTTTTCGGATGATAAGTCCAAGTCTCCCAGCCAGCAGAAGGGGATAATCAAAACAACAACACTCTGCTTTTTTGCTGCTGGTTGGCGGCCAATGTGTGTGTGTGTGTCTCGGGATGGCGGAAAACCCATCACAGCTGATTTGACGGTCTGCTTTGGCGCCAACACGCTTGCGGACGGAAAGAAGAGCACCACACCCTAACGTGGTGCGATGTCTCGCAACTGCCCCAGCCGGGGTTCGGTTTCGCCCGGAGATGACAGATCCAAGAAGGGGTCATTTTTCGCGGGATGCATAGGGTGATTCGAGGCTCAATCGGAGTTTTTCCAGCAGCCTGAATGTATGTGGCTCGGTCAGGCCAATCGTAGTCTGGTACTTCTGTGGTGCTTTTCGATCGGAGTCCTCAACCCTGTTCTGGCTGTGCTGCTTGCTGCTCTCGCCTTGCTGGCTGGGTAGAGCCAGCGGGGTCAATAACATCATGTCGACTCGAATCGCAAGCGGTCGTGGTCCTTTGAGGGGTCGGAGAGGGACTTTCCGAGTGTTTTCAGGGATACCGTACGGAGATCGTGTCTGACTCTATAGGAGGAACCGCTCTCGGAGGTCTAAAATATAGAACTTCTAAAACTGAGATCCGTGTGAATCGGTATATGGGGACAATGCTGTCGATGATTTCTGCTGGGCGTCCGATCGAGGGCAAGCAGGCGGTGCCTTAGGCTTTTCGAGGGCGTCAAATTCACCTTCAACGGACTGCGATCGCGATTCGCGGCAATCGGAAGGAGCCTCCCTTGTCGAACGTATGCCATTTCCACAGCCTCGATCTGTGTCGGAGAGCGGAAAGACTCCATCGCAAAGTCTTGCGCAATCTTTCCGCCTTGCGCATGGAGAGGTCGAGAGATCGTCACTCGCTGCGCGATTTGCGGAGATGATTCCCCCGTGAAGTCTTGAGGTGGGAGGCGAGGCTTCCCGAGATGCATGACCTGGTGATTAGGCGAGTTTTCATTGCGCTCAGGTGGAATAGAACTGCCTATAGGCGGGGGCTATCGTCCATTCGAAGGCAGGCGAGTCCTGAACGATCAGTTTTTTTTGTGAGGGAAGGTAAAGAACTCCCGTGCGGACCGGTTCCGGGTACTGTGAGACTCGTCCTTCCAGATCATGCTGAATCTTCACGATCGATTGACTGATCTCCTTCGAAGATTTCCCCCGATCGCACTTAGAAAGTGAATGGAGTAAACTCTCTTAGTGCTCTACCCTCGTTCGCTCGACGCCTCAGCACACCGGAGCCGATTTTCTACGGGTATGAGAGACGTACATATATGTATCCTGAACTGGTACGCTAAGCCGGAATTCGAGCAGCCGCGTTACACCGATTACGATTGGGTATCGCTATCGAGCGGATGCTCCCGGATGGACCAAGGCCGAGGACCCTCTGTTCCGTAGGGAAATTCTGCCGCACTAGCGTCATAGTGACTTTCCCGGTCTCTAGCTCTTTCTCTCTCGGTCGACATACGGCAAGTCGGCAGATGGCGGATTGTTTGGAGCAATCAGCATATAGCCTTGCGTGGATCCGGGCGTCCATGGATGCGGGGATCACCCAATGACTTCTCTAAGGAACATCCGCCCACCGGAAGGTGACCTCTAGGTTCGCCTATCGGAGACATATCGGCGAGCGCGAGACATCATAAGTTAGCGGTGATGAAGCCCCTCTGATCATCTAAGAGTCGGTGGAATTTCGTTTTCTACCGCAAAGTTTCTTTATTGAGAGCGTCGCTGGGGGTTCTGTAGACCGCCAAGCTCGTAATCCTCCCAAGGCATCCACACGAAATCGAACCTCGCTGGGTCGGCCGCTGCTGAATTCGGCCTATTTTCCATGGGTCGCATACTCGTCTGATATTCATTGAGCTTAACCATCAGCTTCTGGAAAAAAAATCGTTGCTCCGGAAATTGAGCCGGAGTTTTTCTCACAATAGGTTCCGCGGGAGTTACCCGAATTGACTTTCAGATCTCGGAACTCACCCTGACCATATCGGGGCGTTCGTCGAAAATGTCGTTCTCTTCGCACGGGTCCGCGGCTAAGTTGAAAAGACATGGCCGCTTGGAACCGTCACACGCTTTAGACGCAGACCCACATTTGACTGTACGGGTCAAATTCACCGACTCCACCGTCGGATACCATCCGGAATACTCTCCATTCAAGGCATTATCGGTGATCAATTTGAAGTCTCCAGAGCGGACAGCCCACGAATGCGTCACCGGGTCGATATTATAGAGAAGGCTGTGAAAATCGTGCTCGTTCCCATAAGTCCTCTGAGGCTCGACAGTCCTGAATTATTCCATCTCGATCAAAGCATATCGATATCGTGAAAAAACTCGACGCTTCACGAAATTGAGGATCCGCATCACGGCGATTCCGGGCTCATCAGCCGAATTCATAAGTCTCGATGTTTTTCTTCAATTCCCGACAAGGCACGACGAAATGAGGGAAGAGAAGAGGCTCACTCTTTGCGTGGTTGAGCGTTGGTCGAGAGCGCATCCCAAAGATCGTAGCCGTCGAAATTGCCGGCAACGGCATTGCCCGAGGCTGTCAGAAGCGTCGGGAGGACGTCCGTGATGTGAGCCATGCCCTTATACGTTCCCGCTCCGAGCTTTTTGGGATACCAGAAAAGCGCGCTCCCTCGAGTGCCTCCCTCCCATAGCGTGTACTTGCAACCTATTCGAGTCAAAGATACATACCTCGGAATGAGATGTTCGCCGAGAATCAATTTGATATTCTATATACCTGTTCGTCGCGTTCCTCAGTCGAGAAGACCTTAGACGACTTCGAAGTTAAAATCAAGGATGGACATCTTCAAATACACTCGGTTTTGAGCGGAGGAGAGGGATACGTATGGTGTAATGCACCTCGTAGAGGATGATTCGAAGATCCACTGGATGCCATGCCGTTGGTTGGTCCGCCGTTGTCATTCGTGAGGAAGATGATGGTATTCTCAGCGAAACCATTCGTCGAGATACCATGCATGAGCTCACCTATCGACGCATCCATTGCGGATACCTGAAGAAACGGCATCGAATTTTAAAATGAATCTATGGGATATGAAGGACGGAGGCTCAAGAGAGGAGGGTAGGCAGGGACAACGAGGCGAGGCGGAGATGGGCGAAGCCTTCCCATATGGCAGGTGGCAGACTGACGACCCTTACTTATAGAATGTCGGGGATAAATAAGGAGGGCTCGGGAATCCCTAGAAATCCTTTTACCATCGCAGCGTAGTGTTTCCTTTTCTCATCGTATATCTTGCCCTCAAACTTTTTCACAAAGCTCAGGGGGGCTTGCAGAGGATTTTCCCCATCGCCCACGTGGACGGCTTGATGGGCGAGGTAGAGGAAAAGCGGGGTCGTCTTGTTGTGCGTCTGAAAAATCGCCGTCTCCAGCAGAGTGAATCAGGCGAGACCTGTTTTCCGGGAACCTTCCAAAGACAGAATCAAGTGGCATTCAGAAAGAAAACGTAGGCAGATGTAGGAATAATAATTTTCAGCGAACCTCAAGGATGCTGATCGCACGCTTCGTGAAGAGATCATTCGCGTATGTCCCATGGTACTTTTTGATCGGAACTTCATTACTCCAGAGGTCGAGTCCGGCATACATTTCGTTCTTCACGGGCGAAGATTCTTCACCCCAATGGTTGAAGTAGTCGCTGTGACCGAGTCTGAATCCGAAGTGGCTGTGGAAACCCCTTCGAGTCGGGAGCAACTCGGAGCGACTGTGTCCCAGATGCCACTTCCCGATGATATGACTCTTGTAGCCTATGAAGGTCGGGTAGGTCGACCATTGGCCATGAATATCGCAGCGAAAGAAACGTTCTAACATTAGGACCACGAATTTTCCGCGTATGAATTTTCAGAAAACAAGTACCTGATAGGTATTGAGGCATGATCTTGAAGTCTGTGGGTAAGCCATAAGGCTGTGCTCCCTGAATAACATCGTATTGCAGTCCGAGATGGATTGGATATTTGCCGGTCATTAAAGCTCCACGGGACGGCGTACATATTGCTTGAGTGTAGTAATTCTCCAGTAGAACACCTGTTGGAATTGTAGGGTGACGGAAGCCTGAATGAATGATGTCTCTGATGACTAGCAATGCCTTGATTTCTAGGAGCTGAAAAATCACTCTGGCGCATCTGCCAAGCCTCCGAGAGCTTCAAAGGCTCGATGTGTCCATCTAATTGTCTCTATATCGACCATTCCGATTGCGCTACCTTCTGCGGCGAGTTTGTCTATGTTCGGCGTGGGAATCTGATCACTGCCATGGAGACTGATATCGTCCCAACCAAGATCGTCGATCACAATCAAAACTATGTTCGGGGATGATGCCGCACAGTTTGCGATCCTCAGCACGATCACAAAACAAGCCAGGCCCAACATGGCGTGCAGAGTGTTTAGGACACTCATCAAGCGCCTCCGTGGCGGAATCTTTCCTCGATTAGATTAGACATGTTTCGTTTCAATTGTTCGACTGGTCGACGAACGTTTTGTGAATCGATCCCCGCCGTAAGTTCCCACCAGCAGGGATCCTCGATGAGCGCTGGAATATCGTACGAGATGGGGATCAGGCTTGAAGCATTGCATCGCTCATTTTGATTCAGAATCCATGTAAGGGCCCCAATATATCGAATGCATCTTCCATGGATATCGGATATCGGAGCGCATGGCACGGAATCCGCGTCCACGTGATTAGTCTCCCCGCGCCAACGTTGGTGTTCTCGAGAGCATAAGTACCCCGTTCGCTCCGGTGAAAGCGTCGCGGAGATGAAGCCAGTCTCAGCTCCCAAAGAGATTATTCTCAGTGAGCCTTCCCGGGAGCTTCCGTGGATTCGAGCGGTCTTTCCCGGATCTCCGATGTCTCAAGCATGGGCTGAAGGTACGAGAGAGGCTCACTAAAAGAGCATTTTGAGGACGAAAGCATGAGAACAGAAAGAATAATGAAGCATCGAGCTCGAGGCATTCTTGGACATCCATCACAAGAGTTGGAGAGCCCCGTCCAGGGGGCTCGTGACCGGGGCTGACATGTTCGGGAGGCTTTCCGAGGGCTATACAGGGTATCCCGATATGCTGAGGTCTTCGCCAACATGACGCCATAACTGGTCTCAAGGTACCAAATACCGAGACGGGATGTCGCCCTTGAATGCTAGACTAGCTAATTCGATTTCCTGCATCTGCAAGAGCAGACTTCCGGTAGAAGAAGATCCGAACAAATACGAATTTAACCTGGCGACAGGTGAGGTGCATTAATTATTCAGAAGACTGCTCTATTCCAAAAAGGTGAAATGACGATGATCCATCTTTATTTTATTTAGAGCTCCTCCCGAATGAAACCGCTGTTGCTAGTGCGAGAATACTCTGACTGCCCTGGAAACAAATCAGGATCGAGGCCAATACAACATCGAAACGCAGGACGAAAGTTTGCCACAGAGCGTAGTATAAGGCTGCCAGGATTGCTGGACAAGCCAGGAAACACGACAGCAGCAGGGGCAGCGCTTGCTCAGCCAGATTCCCGCGTTCTCCTGCAACGAAGACCTCTTATGATACACATGAGTTATTCTATGCCCCCGTTGGACCTAAAGTGACTCGAATTCTTTCATATCGAATGTTGAGGACTTCAACTCATCGATTGACATTCGTCTTGATGAGAAGCCAGGAGCCCAACGAGTTTCGTCTCTGGTGGGGCCACAGCACTCGCCTAGTTTTAGTCGTATCACTTCCAATGGTGTCTGGAACACCAGGAGCGATATTTCGGTGAGGAAGTTATTCGGGGGATACGGAAGACGAACTCCTTTGAATATGAAGATGGCCAATTCACTCGCTGCGAACAGGAAATATACGATCCTCCCATAGTGAAGGAGAATGGCCAAGGGCAGCGATGAAAGCTTATGGAAACGTGGAGGAATTTTATTTTATGGATCGCCCAGCGTCAATCGGTAGGATGGACTCGAGGGCTCTCTGCATCATGTATCATGTCCCGAAAAATGGACAATCCGACGCTCACCATTTCGTGATGCTCGTTCCTCACGGCAGGAACTGTCAATTAGGACAAGGTAAGACTTAATAATTCGGAAGGCCAATTATTCTCTGCTTAGTTTCGAATATGTATATTCATCTTTCTGATTCCTGAAGGATCTCGCGTGAAGAACTGATAGAGTTCGAACGATACGTCGCTTAAGTTCAAGATAGTGGACTCACTTTTGTCGGCCATCGTGTCCCAGCTCTGCGTGATCACCGTTGCCATGGCACCGCGCGCGAGTTTGAGCGCCGAGCCCTCGACTTGACTGTCAGACGAGGCGACTGCATTCAGCTGGGGTCCTCAGGATCGCTGCCTGCATTCGAGTAACAGAAACCTGACGTACGAATATCACAGATTGTCAAATTAATTATTTGCCGGAGGAGGCTTGCGTATGCTGAGTCCGAAACCGCACTCGAATCCCGCGAATTTCGTCACTTAATGGCACTCGCTTCATCTCAGCCTTTGATTAGGTTCTTGGGCTCAACCTCCCTGTTTACAGCATTGGCAGTCACTGGAATGCCTCGGTTTCAATCAGCTTCGACTACCTCCGACTCGCAATCTCTCGTCCTCAATGCTCGTTTCCCTGAGCTCAAGGAGATTGATGTTGCTCATCAAGCGCGTAGATCAGTGTTGAATGTTGAATGAGCTTCTCCTCGCCCTTTCTGAGGAATCAATGCAAGGAGGGCACCTGTTAGAAAGAAGTTTCATCCTTCACTCCTGGGGAGATCTTCGCTTCACGCTCGCGATTGACACGCTCCTCTTGTGGGAGCGGGACTTCAGTGGAAGGTTCTGGCAATCCACCGACTGAGAGACTGTTCCCCTCTTCTTCTGATTGGATTCTGTTTCCCGTTGTATCAGCATGGAAGACAACAAAATTCATCATCATGATAGCGAGTGGATCGGACGGGTCAAAATTCCTTGATGCATGTTCTGCCTAATCCCGAGGACGGAGCCCGGCGAATAATTCATACGCCCGGAATCCCAGAGGTCCCGAGTCCAAGAAGAGCAATCTCTTTCCCTCGATTGTGCCCTTCCAACGAGGAGGTTCACGCATCATCAGAATCCATTAGAGTCCGCGGGAGGGCCTCAAGACTCTGCGAGGTGCGGGAATAAGAGATTTGTCGAAAAACCACAGAGAACCCGAAAGTGGTTATGGAAGCGGTTCGTCTGAGGACTCTCAGTGTGGCTCCTCGAGCGGTAGCGACTCCGGATACGCAGCTGATTCTCCCTCGAGCAGCTCGGGGAGTGATTCCTCGGATGATTCTTCGAGTGATTCCTCGGATGATTCTTCGAGTGATTCCTCGGATGGAACTTCGAGTGATTCCTCGAGCAGTGCAACTTCGAGCGACAGTTTAGTTATTTTTAGTGAGCTTGAAATAGCGATGACAGTGACTGAACGCCTCGGTAGTCGAAAACGTGTTTCGGAACGAAGTCTAATCGACCCTTGGTAGAGCTATGCTGACCTACGAATGAAAACTCGCGCCGTATCGTCAAGCTCCTGGGTCAGTCTGATTGGACATCGCGTCAGGAAAACATATTCTTGACGCGGGAAACTGAGGAAATCGTCGTATCTTGAGAGCGAATTTTTCCCTCAGAAATTAAAGAATCGTAAAGTCTTTATACCGGAGACATTCGTAAGGACTCCCGTGTGGGAGCAGGGTGGGCTCTGCTTGGATATAAGGACAGGACGGGTTTGCCTCTGACAAGTGGGCCGCCGTCATCTCGTAATTAGTCGTATTTGCGTGACTGAAGAGAAGTCTATGTAGTACCGTTCATCCGTGCTACATGCGAACAGCTGAGTCCTTCGATGTGATTGCAGTAGAGAACGTTTCCGTTGCACTTTCCCGAGCCATTCTGGCCTCCGATAGAAGTGCACTCGAATACGCCCTGGGATTCTTCAGGTTCTCCGAGGACTTGATTCGGTGGTTGTTGGTCGTCCAACTCTTCGATTTTCCTGATCATAGACTCCCAGGTCATTCGATCCCGGATCATGTAAGTCCAAGGCATACGGCAAGAAGACACGGAATACCTATACCCTTTGGTGTTCACGGGAGTTGGGTCGCTCTAGCGGTTCCGTGAGAGCCGTCGGCTTGAAAGCACTCCGAAGAAGAGCACAAAATGCTCGCGGAGACTCGATCCCTAATCATATTGAGTAGGAGTCCGACTGAGGACATCCTCGGAACCCAGAGAAGCATTTCGTAATGGAACTCCAAAGCAAACGCATTCGGGATTTTTAAAAGGAAATGTCGATCCTAGTTTAGAGCTCTGAGCGATCGTCTCGAGCCGATTACGGGAGCCGAACGCGGGATCGCAGCTGTTGCTTTATGATCTTTGTGATTTTCAATCGACTCGACTGACCCACTCCCTGAAGGAGACTCGCGGCGGAAATGGAACGATTGGTCAAAAATTTCGACAGATGCTCCCCTACTCGTCAATAAATCCACGCTTCTCTTGCCTGACACTGTTTTCCCAGCACTGGCTCGGAGTGAGCGCACCATGAGACACCTATCAATACTTTCTGTCGGCTTGATTCTGTTGCTTCAGGTGGCCAGAACTCGAAGTCACGGTCGTCTCTGGGAGCCGCCGTCGAGATCGACAGCTTTCAGACGAGGCTTCCGCACCCCAAAGAACTACAACGATCATGAGAGCTTCTGCGGGGGTCTACAGGTAAAAAATGACTCGATTCGGATTTCGGAAGAAGTTCCCGAACCTCCCTCGACTCTGAAAAGTTGAAGACCGTGCTCTCTTCGAGGTGATGTATCAACTGAACGGTGGCAAGTGTGGCTTGTGCGGGGATCCTTGGAACAGCAAAAAACCCAGACCCAATGAGGCCGGCGGCATTTACGACACCGGGACGATCGTGAGAAGCTACAAAGAGGTGATTCTGATTACTAGAGAAGAAGCTCCCGAGCTGAGAGGGCTGATCTGGTTGACCAGAAACATCCTTCTGCCCCATTCCTGAGGAACGAGCGAAAGGAAAGGGATCTGGAGGACTCTTCATCGTTGCAGGGCAAACGGATCAAGGCCGCAGTCTTCGTGACCACCAACCATCTGGGATACTTTGAGTTCCAGCTGTGTCCGAATTCTTCAAACGTCACCGAAGACTGTTTTCACGAGCACAAGCTGAACATATATGGTTTGGAGCAGAAGAAGACCAAAAGGCTTTACATAGGCTCGGAAGACGGTATGATACCGATGAAACTGAGGCTCCCGGATGGCATCAAGTGTGAGAGATGCGTCCTGCGTTGGCAATATACGACAGGTACGCGAAATGCACCGCCTAACTTATTGGAGCCCGATGCGGAAGTCTGTGATTGAGGGGCGGGTTCCGGTGTATGATGCGACCTTTCCAGGTAATTTTTGGGGCAAGTGCACCAATGGAACGACGGGAATGGGATGCGGAAACCAGGAAGTGTACCGGGCGTGTGCTGATATCGCGATCCTCTAGCACTCAATTTCGACGCTCCGTGTTGAATCTGAAGTGTCCCTCCTCTCCGCGGCTCTCTGATGACAACAACGACGGCGAGTCGATCCACCTGGATGTCGAAAAAACGAATTCTTACAATCGAGTCAGTTATCGTCAATATATCTGCTCCGGCTCTCCTCGATGCTCGGCTCGGGAGAACTCGAAAACACAGATTCGATGCTCACTGATCCTTTCCGATCTTTCTGGATTCGCTCCTCTGACTCTGCGTTTCGAGTGAAGTCACGACGAGCCTCCGTAAAGAAAAAGTGATTTCGTTCGTTAATATAATCTTATGGCACTCGTGTAGGACGCCCCGTGCCCGACTTGGACTCTTCGTCCCTTTACCCTCACTTCCCCACCTTCGATTCCAAGACCTCCATCGACGTCCGGGCGGTCCTCTCGGCAGAACTTGATGCCATTGAAAGTAAGGCTAGACACACGACGGTTCTATTCTATCTCCGAATTATTTCAAAGAGGTCCGAGACCTCCATGATTTATTAGACATTCGGAGAGCTCCCCCGAATCAGACGAGGGTGAGAGCGCTTGATTTCCCTTTTCTTCGGGAACACAGAGGGCCCGCCTGGATCCGAGATGGTTGGGACGCTTCGCTACACGCATTCAGTGTTTAGCGGATCGCCCTCGGCGGGAGGAAACAGGCGCCGAGGGATCCCGTATTGTTGGCGGCATTCATCTGAAGGAGTTGACAGTTTTCTTGATTATTGCGACGCATTCCATGAGCTGGTCCTTCGTTATGGTCAGAGGGGGTGCGAATCGTATCTTATCGTCGTGAGTTGGTTTCGCCAACAGTCCGTTCTCCTTCAGTCGAAGGCACAGCTCCCACGCATCGTATTCTGGAAGTTTTCGTGAAATATATGATTACTTCCATATATAGGCGTACGACACATGCTGACAAAGCATTCTTTTCATGAACAGTCGGAGAGTTCATCGCGTCTCACTTGGATCTATCACAATGGCGTTGAGGAGTCCTTTGCCTCGGACAGTTCTCACGACTTCTTTGGGTAGCTCGTTGAGCTCGCTTCGTAAGAGTTTTCCCATCTTGTCGGCGTTTTCTGAGAGCTTCTCTTCGACGAGAACTTCCAGGGCGGCTACTCCCACTTTCGCGGCGAGAGGGTTCCCTCCGTATGTGGAGCCGTGCTCACCCGGTTTTATCACGAGCATGACATCGTCGTTACAAAGCGCAGCTGATACAGGATACACACCGCCTACGTGTAGGAACATTCAACTTCAGATCCACCATAGATCGTTGACGACAGCATATTGAATTCTATTCACGTGGACCCGATGTAACTAAGCGAGGAGAGACAGCTCACCCGAGAGTGCTTTACCCAGCGTCAGAATGTCCGGTTTCACATTCTCATGGTCGACGCAGAGAAGTCTGAAAATGACGGAATATTTTTTTGATTGAATGCATAGTGCAGCGAAATAGCTGGACGACCACGTTGGCTCGTGAGGGCGAGAACGGCATCCAGATCACCATTCTCAGAGGGCCAGGCAGGTCTCCCGATTCGCGCGCATACAAGAGAATAAAGGTATCCAATGAATTGAGAACATGGGAAACACATCCTGAAGAGCGTCCCGTCTTGCGCAGCGACCAAGTTCACCACCAGAGAAATCTGCCCGACTGGAGTTCTAGTGCGGAATCACCGCCCGTATGCAATGAGGAGCGTCTACTCACTTCCCGCAACGTCCCAATCCAGTCTGGATTTCGTCGGCGATAAAAAGAACATTGTAGCGAGTACAGAGTTCTCTTACTCCTCTCAGGTATCCATCTTCCGGAACGACGACGCCAGCTTCGCCCTGGATAGGCTCCACCATGAAGCCGCAAACCGTGGGATCCTTGAGTTTCTCCTGGAGTTGAAAATTATGAAATAATTGGAGCGGTTCTGAGCTTCCTGTAAGGGAAATGTGCCATCGCTGGCGCGGACATACCTCCAACGCTTTGAGATCGTTGTAAGGCACCAGCTCGAAACCAGGCATGAAGGGCCCGAAGCCTTTGTATGATGTGGGGTCAGTGGATGAAGAAATAGCGGCAAGGGTCCGTCCCCAGAAATTATCCTCACAAAAAACGATCTTTGCTTGATTCTCAGCTATTCCCTTGACGTCGTACCCCCATCTCCTCGCGAGTTTACAGGCCGTCTCGTCTGCTTCCACACCTTGTCAGCGAGGGAGAGCCATGAGAAACTATATCCCTTTATCCACACGCATACTCCTCCAAAAACTGCCGCGGGTCCCTCAGGAGCTCGATTGTCGTCCCACTCACCAGTGTTCATGGGGAGGACCTTATCGTACCCGAAGAGCTTGGTGATGTACTCTTCGTATTCCCCGAGAACCGAATTGTAGAACGCGCGTGAGGTCAGCGTGAGCTTCTCCGCTTGCATTTGGAGCGTTTTAACTATTTTGGGATGACAGTGGCCCTGAGAAGCATCTATCTTAGCGATCCTTCCTTATTTTTCCGTATTCGTCCAGCGACACGCTCAGAGTGTAGTCAATCCTGGCTCCGCGGAACTCACCTGATTTACGGCTGAGTACGCCGAGAGAAAGTCGAAGTATCTTCGCCCTTCGACGTCCCAAACGAATACACCTGCGGAGATTCGGGTCGATCTGATTTAATCCGCTCCGTAGATGGAAGAGTCCGACTGACCACTTCCGCGGTGAGTGACGTCTCAAGCGAAATTCCTCCACTTTTTCAACAACAAACCTTTAGCTTTATCGATTGCGACAGGCAGGGGGTGATAATTGTGCGCACCGAACTTATCCTCCCTCGCGAAGACTTGCGCGGAGCTCAGTTGAGATGCGCACCTTCGAGCGAGGCCGGAGCCCAAAATTCTGCTTGCCGGATTCATAGCTCAGTAAAGGGTGAAACTTCCGAGTCAACTGCGTCTGAAAGTCAAGTCAAATTCTTGATACGGCAGCGTGAAGGATCTAAGACAAGTCGCACTCGCCCAAGACATCGACTCAGGAACTTCGGTGTATGCTATTGAATGCCGCCACCGTTGTTCGATGCGGTCGTAAAGCCTGTGACCGCCAGCCAGTATCGGTTAATCTCTTGCGAGATACAGCTTGAGCGAATGGCCCGCTCAGTGGAACGCTCTGTCTACATCCCGCAGTTTCGGTGCTTGCACATCATCGGTAGACATAAGATTGATGGAAGATATATCGGGCCCATGAACGTTCAGGAGTCCCGTGTTGGAAAGTTCCGAGGAGGTACAGGAGTCAATTTCAGACTCCCTTAGGCTTCCCGGCAGAAAATAAAGTGGAAGAGTCTGGTGGCTCCAGACTCCAGATGCATCCAGAGGCTGTCGAGTGTTCAGCCATTCCCAAGGTTGTCCTTCGTGTATTCTTCGAGCTGCTAATGACTAATCCGACAGCCAGCCCCAAAACCCATGTCAACCGCTCCAACCTCGGCAATCAAGGGGCTCGAACTTCGAACTCTAAAGGAGTGCGGAGCATCCCGTCTCCCGACAACCTGAAGTGTGGCCGCTCTTGAAGAGACGTTGATTGCTGTCTTCCTCATCTCCCGCATTCATGTCATCGTCGTCGCCAGTATTATCTATTATCAATCTCTAGAATAACTTTTCGAATCGCTCACCGGATTCTTTTGATTCATCAGATGATACAAGACCCTACTCGGAGAGTTTCCTAAAGATCTAACGAGCTCGTCAAAAGTTCACGACCGCCCTGAAGCTCCTCAATCCTCCCTCGACCCTCGATAGTACGGACCATGAGCTTTAACTTTTAGACCAGGAGAATCTCCTCACGACGGATCTCGTGAGAGCGGCAAAATCTGTTCATTGTAATGGAAATATGTTCAAGATTGTCTCTATGGCAAGCAAGCCAATGAACAGAAGAAAAACCTAGCTGTACTGAAAATTCCCTGTAAGGCTCTTCGTTGTAACGGAATTTCGCTGAATTCGGAATAGCTCAAGGTCCGTTTGTTGAGAGTCCCTATGCTGACCGAATAGAGCGACTGTGAACTATAAAATTGCGCTGGCGGGAGAAAAGCCAATGCGGTTCGTTGATGATGTGGGCCGTGATCCTCGTCTCTCGGGGTACTTACGAGCTGCTCTGCGCCAGCTGATGGGTCCGTCTCACTGAGATCAGAACTTTTGGAAAATACGGAATGAGCGCGTAAACGAGGCAATTAAGCTCAGAAAGTTCCTCGAGACTGAGGGGAGAGTATCCTGCCGCTCGCTGTCTGGCACGAAAACGGCGAGACTGCGGATAATCGGTTGTTTTTATCTGGAATGGAGAGAACGCTCCCGATGACGTGTCACGCAGTCGAGGAAAACTTCCTCTCGAACACGAAATCGCCGAGTTCCGATCCCCACACGATCCTTCGATCTGAGTTGATCCCGGGAGTAGAGCCGTCATGGTGGGAATCTGCAGGGGGCTCGTGAATTTGATCAGATACGTCCCTGAAGATCCAAATCACCGTTCCCATTGGATCCGAACCTCAGAGGAGCGGACTCGTGGTCGCCTCTCGACCGATCCGAACTCATACAATGGATACGGATCCCTCAAATCGCGGAGCTTTCGGATACCTTGGCATCAAGACTCTGAAGAGTCGGTTCTCCTTATGGTTATGGTTATGGTTATAATTGATCCTTTTTCTCTGTTCGTTCCTCGGTCTCTGCCAGCGGGAATCTGCCGTTATGATTGATATCACGCATCGAAGAGATCCGCATTATAGGGGTCGTGGTGAATAATGTTATATTGCTGAATGAAAGAAATCCAAGGAGCGAATCTTGGAGCGAAGCTTCAGGGATGAGACTCCCGGAGGCTAATGATGACCAGTACTCATGCAAGGCCGGTTTCGAGTTCAGAATGCAGCTCGGAACCGGAGTATCCCTACGACACGAGACCGACCATGATTAGAACCGACGCCGTCATAACCACAGTCATCCTTCCTAAAAAGTTTATTTACAATAGCGGAGGCAGAATAAATAATCAACTGCAGATTTCTTGTCTACAATGTACATCAACGGGCTTTGTCTTCAGAGCCGTCAGCCGGAGCGCTCAATTCGAACTTCAATGGTATCCTAATCCGTTGTATACCGAAGCGTCGGCATGTTCAGGCTCGAGGAGGGATCGGATGGCTGCGAGAAATTATTCAATTATCGGAGACGAATGATTGTAGGCCATGCCTGATTCGTTGAGAGTTGTAGCAATGGATGAGCTCCTTACTTTGTTTCTGCTCCTCGGTGAACGGACTCTTCGGGAACTTGACGTCGAACGTCACGTAGAGAGTGCCTTTCCGGTTGTTGTTCTCGTAGTTGGGCATTCCTTCGTTCGGCTTCCGCATGCGGGCTCCAGGCCACGTGATTCCATCTCGGCTCACTTTGACCTTGTGACCGTCGAGGTGTGTAATCTCTGTTTCGAATCCGACCAAGGCGTCGTCGAGGGAAATTGTGATATTTGTGAAGAGATCATCTCCCTATGGAACGACAAATCTTTAATGATGGACTCAGTCTGACCGGCGAAATCTGAACAGAGAGCTGTCGGAACCTCCCTAGACTCGGGGCCGAAGACTAAGCCCTACTCGAGGTATCCTGTTAGAAACGCGTCTGACCTTTCTCTGGAAGACTGGATGAGGTGCTGTTCTGATTCTCAGCTTCAGATCTCCAGGATCACCGTCAATGTGAGGCTCCCCTTCGGCTGTGAACAGCTGCTCTTGACCGTCCCTCATACCAACTTCTATCTCCACTTCCAGCGTTCTTTCCTCGGTCTCTAGTTTCAGGTTTGGACACTCGTCGCAAACTTGCTGTTGAAGCATCTGGAATCTGGAACGAGGATGGGCATTTGGCGCGCGGTTTCACAGGGAGGCGAAGCTCGCAGGCTCAGATACGGGTAGCTGTGGGATTCCACATAGAGCAGCATTCCTATAGTTCCGGGGGTTCCTCCTTACCTTCCTGGTCCGATCTGCCGAGTCACCATCTCCGAACGACAGTTACATTTCCTCGTTCCAGAAGATTGTTTGTAAACCGGCTTCTTCCTAACAATCTCAACGAAATTACCTGGATGTCAGAGAGTCAAAAAATGAAACCCTCTGATTTCTTTCCGGATAAAGATCGTTGGACGGTACTGAGTGACGGGGACGAGCTCGGAGCCCCTGATGGAAGAAGCGACATAAAACCTGCAGTCGAGGGCGGAGCTTACCGTTGTATAGCTCCTCGAGTGTGACCCACAAGTCCATCACGACATCGCTGCCCTTCGGAGTCTCTCTCGGTCGGTCGTCACCGCCGAAGAAGCCGAAATCTCCGAAGAACGACGCGAAAGGATCACCTCCACCACGGCCGATATCCTTCAAACCTGGGAGAGAGCCCGAAACAGCGCATGTCAAACAATCGATCATTCGCTCAAGTATTATAATCCAGCACTATTATATATCTGAATATCTGAATAAATCGAGGGAGTTGCGTATCGGTCTTGCCTTCCTCGCCGTAGCGATCGTACTGCTTCCTCTTCTCGGCGTCGACAAGAACCTCATAGGCGGCTCCAAGATCTTGAAATTTATCCTGTGCGGCAGGATCGTCCTTGTTCTTGTCAGGATGTAATTCCTTGGCGAGTTTTCTGTAGGCCTTCTTTATTTGGTTGACATTCGCGGACCTAGGTACTCCGAGTATGTCGTAGAAATCTCTCCCTCCCAAAACATCAGTGACAGCGACGCTGAGTATCAGAGCTAGACAGAGCAAACGCATGTTTTCTGCAAGACGAAACGACGATGGGAGTCTTTGTTCAACTTTCACTGATTTCGGAGAAAAGAAGAATTCCTTTCGAAATGCACCAGACCATTCAGAGGATCTGCGCTCAGCTGGTTTTCGCTGCAAACAGTGAATAATTTCCGCTCAATGAGCCCGAATGCACGATTTTTCAAGTCAGACCAGGCGCGAGAAATCCAACCAGAATTAACAATTTTTCCAGCATTGGAAGAGCGGAGCCGTAATGCTACGTGTCTTTACGGAGGCGCCGGTATAGCTGCTCTGACGGGGAGTCTCTCCATCCGACTCAGAGCAGACACATCTCCGAATCAGACGCTCATCATTCGATGGAGCGATAGTCCAAGCATCTTCGCTGGAAATGGCCATACTAACCTTTCGCAATACTATATACACTACGAGTCCACCTATCTCCGAATGCACCACTATAGAACGTTTTCAACAGGGAGAGACAAGAGGAAGCTAGATGCCCGGCATAGCCGCGCTGATGGCTAGATGGAGAACAAGCATGATCTCTGCAGGTGAATTTCCGGGGGTATACCGTCTTCTCCTCCCATCGAGTCCTCGCCGTTCGACCTCTGGACCCGATATCGCATGTTACGAGAATCCCAATGGTATTTGCTTGGATGAAAATTCTTCTTGATCTCGCTTTTTGTGGCGCGCCGCGAACCCTTCTGCGGAGGCTCCGACAATTGATTCGGCAAGACTAGGTGAATCCACGGAATCTCGGGCGTATTCTCGCGGTGGATACTCGGGCGGTAGTATGAGGGACATCGAAGGCGGAACCGTAGATGGCCCGTATTTCGCGCTATCGGGCTCGGGAAGAATCGGAGCCCCTGGCGCATTCGCGGGTCATCCGTCGCATTTAGTCGGGATTGTAGCCACTGGCAGCAGCAGCAGCACATCAGATGGTGGCTTACTTCTGTGGTGGCTGGCGAAGACCGACAGGAGAGACTCCCCTCCTGGAGAATTTTCGCAAGCTAGGTGGCTCGTAGTTCCATGGTGCATGGTTGGTGTCGCGATCAACTACAAAAAAAACGTGCGCCGGCATTACGGATCACGGGATACATTCGAAGCTTTACTTCAACCGGAGCCGGGAATATAGTGAGGATTTTTCTCGACTCCGTGTCGGCGATCAGCAACACCTGATCAAAGAGTTCGCATGAGGCAAGTCTGTTACTGAGAGCCTGGTGTTTGCTTTACCGCAAGCAGTCTGTCGCCCGGCTCGCTCGCTCGACTTTAATGGAACATGTTCAATGACCAGCTCTTCGAATTTCCCGGTATAATTTTTTGCGATAGAGAAACTCCATCAAACAGTTGTTCGACTCTCTGAAGATATCGTCGCCAAGCTTTGGATCGGAAAATGTTTCGTGTCCTGGCTGTGTTTGTTTGAGGAGCTTTTCTTGTCTGGACAGATGATGAGTCGAATCGCAGGTACCGGTAGATACGAACACAGTTCCGACACGGATCGCTTGAATCCGGAGTTATGTTTCCAATTCCGATGGTCCACCACTGCAAAGAGGCTCGTAGCCTCGTTTCCATCTAAGTTTGCTCACTGTTCCATTCCTCTGGGCCCGTGCAAATTTCATTGCGGTCCAATCGGTGTGTCTCCTGGAAATGTTCCGCCGCGGAGAGGACAGAAGAGGAGCCCCAGAGACTCCAGAGTGTCTCGACGGGAGAAAAGTTTGCGAATTGATTGCAATAGAAGAATGTTAGACGAATCAGCTGAATATTCTCTGCATCACTGACAGGAACCCCGGATCGTATATACTCTGATGAGATGACGTAGAAGGCGAATAGAAAAAATCGAGCGCAAATCAAGAATACATAATCAATGCCGAATCGCTCAGGTACAGGAAGCCGACCTGTGGCATTGTGCACTTCTACTTCGTTTGTCCGGCGAAGCCGCCGGACAGCTGTAGGATTGGTTCGCGAAATCAGGAAGGCTTCCGTGGAAACTAATCTGAGCTAAACTGTGCTGAAGTCGTTTCGAGTTTGATCGTTGTCGTAGCTGTCGCCTGAGCTGCTGGCGCCAGCTTTGGAGTCCAACGCTGTCGATTGCCACAACTTTCTCTATGCTGAATCATGTGCCCAAAAAGGAATATTTTAGCCTTTATGCGCGTTCCTCCCCATCTGTTTGCTACTTTCGACCAGCAATCAGAGTGAACGAATCAATCCATGGGCCCTTGAACGGTCCGACATGACTGTCAACAGCGTTCTCCACTTTTGCGACAACTGCTGATGCCGCCGTCGCGTCTGCGCGATCGTAGCCTGTCGGCTATGCTTCTCAAGTCTCGAGCATACTCGATCAGGCACTACATCGAGGCAATACCTCGAAGGAAAGTAAGATGGACATTCCCATATGTACCGAGAGCCAGTCCATCATAGATGCATGCGTCCCGAAGAAGGAGTTGTGTCGCCAGCGGGGACCGCTGTTTCGGTACCCAAATATATCCTGTTTCTCGGAGATGAGTTTCGGAACATATTCCCAAATCTTCCTCGGGGGCTTCTGGATCCGTTAAAATGCTTATCGAATCGGAGAATAACAAACGAGTCTCGCGGAAACGACGATCGCCGCTAATTTCTTCACTGGAACTTCATTCGGCTCGCGGGACGACTGGTGGACTGCGAGCAGCTCGGATTATCTTCCTACTTCGCGAACCCGATGGCGACGTGATTCTTCGCGTCTTTTTAGTTGAGTGCGACGTAATGGCGGTCTTCTGATGGAGAAAGTGAGGCATTTTCTGGGTAGGTGTATTCGTGCGGCGTGTATATGTCAGCAGTCGCGGCCGCGGTGATGACTGATACGCCGTCGATATTTGCGCAGAGTTCGCGAGTGGATCATCATCTCAACGGATCACTCAATACATCACCTCATTCGAGCTCCGTTCCAACTGTGGCTGAAAGAAAAACTAAGCGGGGAACCATCAGTCTGGATACTCCATACGTGTGGGAACATCCGATACAGTGTGATAAAGACTCCCCGCAAACATCTCCCCGCGCTTGAGGCTATGGTTTTGCCATCGTGAGCGACTTGGCCGCCAAAAAATCGGTTCAATTTTCCTGTCATTCGCGTCTGCGCTCAAAGGTTTCTGATGTGCGTGGGGTGGCCAATATCGGTGACGGTTGACAGCTGCGAAAGCATTAATTGTGAGTCGCGTAACTGTTTTCGATTTCATCAGAGCTCATTATAGATCGCTCATAATGAAAACTGATCGAATGGATATCGGAGAATCGATCGGACCACGAGCTCTGTCTGCCGGGAAATGACAAAACACTCCCCGATTCTCTAAAGACGTCGTCCCGCTCCGTAGTCGGATGCGCACGCGGCCATTCGAGCTCAAGACTTCCACTATAATCGAATTCCATGTGTAGCGCCGCATGCAGTCGGTTCGGATAGTATCTCTCGGGGAATTGAATTCACTCTGAGCTTGGATCCACAGAAAGCCCTCTCGAGTTGTGGGACAGCTCCATTCAATCCGTACGGATTCGGAGTCGAAGCAAATGTAGAGAAGGTGTTTACTGTGACCTGTGAGTACCAATCACCGCAAGGATCCGGTATAGTTCCAAATAATGAACAAGAGCACTTCGATCGGTCTCCCCTTCGACACATCTGATGAGAGAGAGCTCGAAAGTCGACACTCACTCAGTCAGAGATGATTCTGCTCGAACGAGCATCATACTCTGGGTATGCGTGGGTCCGCGGAGTATTCCTCCCATGTCGGCTAGTAGGATTCGTACGATGCGTGTTTGTGAACGAGATGAGTGAGCGGGTGGGGCTAAGGAGACCGAAAGTGCACTCCGTTTGTTGCAAACCTCCCAGCGACCTACTAAGGACATATGTACATGGACTCTTGTACGGGAGCACAGGCCCGCCGGACCTGCGCAATTCCACGGATTGAGCTAACCTATTTCATCTCGGCTGGCGACTCCTCTCGGTGCCCATCGTCGGTCTTCGATGCCCTACGAAGGTCATCGCATCAGTTTAGCTGGCCGACACTTTTCTGCCATCGATGAAAAGCGAACGAATTCGAAGGAAGTCAATATCAACTTCACCACTGAATAGTGGCTGACGAAGCGTCAGACGTCAACAGGGGCAGCTGTTCCCTCAGAAAAGCAGAAATAACTCATCAGTACTTCCGCCGTGATTGGGCATTGTTTCAGGGATTCCCTCGATCGAGGACTGAAGCTGTGAAAGGAACCGCAGTCCCTTCAGGATGTCTGAACTTTTGTTCTCGTGGTCAGCGTAGCATGATTGGAGCTATGGAATCAACGAAATGAGCGGGTACCGCGGCATTAGAACAATCATCGTCGATTCCGGAAGATTCGCTTGACGATGGCATTCGACCCCCGCCTATTCGAGTGCGCGGGCTTGTCCCGCGACGAATTGGTAACGAAGGATATGGGTCCTCCTGGAAACAGCGAGGACCTAATGGGTGATGTGGAGCAGGTCTCTCTCGATGAGGAGGTTCTCAACGAAGTTTGTTCCGAATGGAGTCGTTTGAGAGCCCGATGGGGAAGTCGGAAGGTATTCGTCATTCGATAGAAATCATTTTACCGGGGACTTATAATTGATTGTTACATCAAACATTCCTGATTGAAGTATTCACTTGCTTCTCGGAAACCGATCACGGCTCGCTTCGCTCGGATAGGCAGCCGGTTTGAATGCATCATCACATTCTGATGAGCAAATAGGGTGCATCGACGAAATCGGGGGCTGGCTCAGGCAAGCTTCTATTCTCAAGAGAAACAACCTCAATGAGACATGAGCCTTCCCATAATCGTACAGGAGACCTCATGCTTTGCTTATCCGCTGGACGTCCGTGCTCCTGACAGACTCACTTCGACGGGATGAAAAATTCTTCATCGATTCTCGAGTGTTCCGTTGCTTACTTTGCGACTCGGTGGTGAGCTACAACAGCAGTAGTGAAGGGAATCGCCAGAGCCGCTCATCCTACGGTTCTAATCTCAGGAAGAACCTTTGCGACCGGTAGTGCTGACTCGAGTTCTTCCAGGAAGCGCCGCAGCGGCATCAAATGCTACTTAAGGCTGTAGTTCCGGAGCGAGTTATTATGCTTAAATGCTCTTAACCGCGAGAAACCATTACTCTAAGTGTTTCAACAATGATTGCGTCCAAGTCCGGATGCGTTCCATGTCTGTCGCTGCCTCGTCACGATAAGACTGTAGTTTCTCTCGAGGCATCCGCATGCGCGCCGTAAGAATTATTCGATTATCTGCTGATCAAGAGAGTATGACCGAGAGATCGGCCGATCATCTAATCGAGGGCGGGATCAGATTCTGAGATACTCCGTACGCGTATCTCAGGAGTTGATTGGAGATAATCGCCGCCACACCAGTACCTTGGCCAGCGAGCCTATATGCTGCTGCGGCGATAATTGATATGTCATCAAGATGGTCGACATTCTCATTTCCGACGGTACGTGGGGAAGCACTCCAGGGTCGGTCCGAGAACTATGTGGAATTCAAGTTTTGTTGATTGACTTCTGGCCGTGCTGAGGGGGAAGCATCCGGAAAAAACGCTTCACGTGGATCAAGCGATTTTCTTCCATGCCACTGGGGGCCTGGAATTCTGATACGGCTTTCGTGTGCAGTGCTGCAGATGACCCGATAAAGGAGAACCTGTTTCGAAAGATCTCTAATTTATCGCACGGCGAGGAATTACGTGCCCTCGGTGAAAAATTCTAGATTCAGTCATCCTTCTACAGATCACCGCCGTGGCTCGCAATGATCCGATGCAATATGATTTTTGTGATGGTTCATCGCTCGAGCAATAATGGTTTGGGTGTCCGTCATCATCTGTCGCGAAGTTTTTCACAGTTCGCCGTGGAATGACTATGGACCTTCGATGTAGTCCCGCTGAATCAACCCACACGTCTACACACGCTATGGACGGGTCGCATTCACAGAAACGTACAACCTATTAAGGATGATGTCGGCTGATTGCGGTGTTTAAGCGACGGAGCCCTGAGTACGATCCGGAAGATTTCTCCTTGCAAAAGTGATATGGTAATCGTTTGGTTTATAAGGCTGGAAAACCATTCGGGCGATAAAGTCCGATTCCCAGTCAGGGCGTAGGCGAATCCAGAGGTCCGCCGAGGCGAGCGACTGGACCTTTGAACGTTCTTTCCGATACTTGATCTTCTCCGCCGTGTTTTGCCTAGTTCTTCAGCTCGTCTAGCATCGTACTCGGTCCCCTACGGATGAGAGGAGCGTTCTCCGGTCGCGTGTACCCGCTGAAACACAACGCTCACGCAGTAGCCCGTCAATACAGGCAAAGAGTAACTGCTTGAAATTTGAGTTTCTCACGAGAGCTCGCCAGCCCATCCCCCTCCAGACACGTAGCAAAGCTAGTGAAAACAATCTGGGATGCTTTTGTTGCCATCTCAATCTGATATTGTTTTGGTTATGTGACAGAGGTTGACACAATGAGGTTTCTGATGCGCTAGAGACATCCTAGTCTCGTCAAGTCTTGACTATTCTGGTCCTAGACTGACAGGGAGTAGATGAAGTCCAGTATCGATGCGACGTTTTTTTTAAGCATAGCTCTGGTGCCTTTTTTCGTCTTCGCGCAGATGAAGTCGCCTTGCCTCGTTCAAGCTAGTGCTGAGGAATTTCATATATTTTCCTTTGTAAATAAGGCATTAAAATTTAGTCGCCTCTGATGAGCAAGCGGTGAGCGGAACCGTGCGTGGCCGTTCTTATACGGACAGTCCCGTCACCACTAGTCACACCGACTTACGGACACTTACACTCACATGGACAGTCTCACGTCGGCGCATCCCTGACCTCTTGACTACCTCTGGGTCGGCTTGTGTGGCTATTTAATCGCTAGTCGCGCGCAAGCACTAAGTTTTTATCTGCGACAACTGTGGCGTCGACAGATCGGTGTGCGAGCGTCCAAAACAGTAGCGGCACGGAATGTTACTGGCAGCGCAGTTCATTGTATTGAAATTTTTCTCTTGTAACGCTCTCGTTTTTCTTTCGTTTCCCCTCAAACTCTGGAGAATCGGACCGCGGCTGAAAACGCCCGATGTACACCGGAGCGAATTCCGGTCTGCGGCTTCCACAATAGATTTTATTCACCGCCACATCTCAAGCGAGCCGCAACAAGCAGGAACTGACACACGCTCAGACTTCGTGTTGACAGAAACGTCAATATAAGCGGCTGCTGAATTCATTCTGCATTTAATTCTCATTGCATCCCTTATAAGTAGTATTGAGGCTCATAGATTCGTTTGGTGCCGAGTTCGGCAGACTCGAACACTCGCCGCTGTCGTAACAGCACCAATCCTAAGAAGTTCTCTCGGATTTTTCATACGAATCTTGAACTCTTCATGTACTTCTGGAGATGCTGTGGCAGGTCTTTCTTCTCCATTTCTGTACCATCTAACACCTGAAACCATAAGCTCATCGAAGGTCTGGCAGGATGAGCGATAGCATAGCATCGACGATCACACACTGAAGAATTTAATGGAGAATTCTTTCCAGGTGGAAAAGGAACTACGTCGCCTGAGACCAGGAGCCCCATCATGAGAGAGTTCTGAGGGGTCTGCACCCCTGATTAAAATGGATTTGATGGTAAGACCCATAGAGTCCCGAGTCCAAACCTTCTTCTCGGCTTAATCCCTCGGAGAAGTCTGTGCGGAAATCACTGCCCTAGCGGTACTTTGAAACGAATACATTTCTCCCGGCGCTGGCGATACGATGTCGTTGGAAGGGAAATATTCCCAGATTATCCCCTTCCCATATGCTGTTCCTTGCCCTTCGCCTAGAAAGTGTGTCTCTAGGGAATCTCCAGAGAAGAGCTCATCTGGGCTCTCCGAATCATTTCACGAGAATTCTGTCCCCACATCCCATCGATAGCGTCTTCACGGACCTCCGAGAAACGCTCAAGTTTCCGGGGGAGTTGTCTCTCGACGCCTCTGCATTTAGGGATCAATGCAGAAAATGCTTCGTGGCATCTGCGAAGAATCGGATTTTGCTGCTAGGTTCTGCATTGATAGCTTCGACGGCGAGGTACGCTCGACGCACAACTATAGCGGAGTTTTCTGCATTAGTCGGACAACTGCATTAACAACAGCTGAGCAGTCAACCAGACACGATGCTCATCAGCGACGACTACGGCGAGTGGATTCTCTTTTTTGTTGCATTGTGGCTCGTCAGTCGTTGCTCCAGTTTTTGGCCGGTAAGACGCTTCTCGCATTTGTCTCGTCTGGCCAACTTAGCAACTTGACGCTTCCACTGCTCGATAGACGGCCGCAGACCCTGAGACCTCGAGGGGCAAACGTCACGTCGGCATCGGCGGCAACGATAATGAACGAGTGAAGAACTGGATCGGTCATCATTAGCAGTTTTGCTGCCGCCGCCGCTGCGCCGTCAATGGAAGCTCAAGCTCGGCTGTAGCGGATGCCTTGGGGCATCGGAAAACGCTGTTTGCTTTCATTGGCGCCGTTCATGTTGACATCAGCTCGCAGTCAACTCTGCCAGCGTCCGAACTTTTTGGCAGCGCCTGCGGCTTTGAGACTTCGAGTCCGGGCTCGGAGTTTCGGGTACGCGCTGGCAGGCTTCGCTTAGAATTCAGTAGTCGACAAAGCAGACGCATAACGGGAATTCTGATTAAGGAAAGTTCCCCCGCTATTGTTTTCCTCGCAGTGAATCAGACTGACAGACGTTGGTCGACTGAAATGAAGCGGAGGCCAAGGCCTCGTGATTGTCATGTTATTGTACGGAGCCGTGCAGAAGAACGCGGCTTCTGACTGACTGAGATCACACCGCCAGCTATTCGACCAACAGGCGTATGACGGATGATGGACATTATGGAAGAGAGATCCCGCTGTCGAGACGGGGACGGGGGAGGAGATTAGATTCTTCCTCGGGTTTCCGGGGATTCCAAGTGAAACTAGCGTGAGTGAATCAAGCTCCGCCACTGTTTCATTGATTGTCCCTCGTCGGTCCCAATTGTGATTGGGTACGACTTTGCCCGCGCCAAGATCTCGGTCGTCGGAAGTACGTCACCTCTAGCGTCGCCGAATGTTCGGAGGTCGATCCGTCTTCAGCGACGATTGAGAATAGCCACGCACTATCGACTCGAACCTCCATTGAGAAGCTATGGACAAAGCCTCTTAATTCTCCTTTTGTCTACGAGCTCGGGACTCATGTTCTTGCCTTCGTGCGAAAGTTTTCGTCACCGCTCCGTCAAAATAGAGATCGAACGGATGGCGCTCGTCGCGACTTCTCGATGAGTTTGAGCTGCTGCGGCATAGACGATCTCGGAGCGAATCTTTCTTCTATCATGACTTTCATCGTTCATTCGTGAGAATTGTTGCCTCTCGACCGGCGCCTAGGCTGAGAAGCCGGATGAGCTCGTTTCATTTCAACAGCTCCGGGAGATCTGTTGAAGGCGATTACTATCCTTTCAGCTTAGCTTCTTCTGAATCTACACGAACGCTTGTAGGAAGACTCTGGCGTTAGTTTCGGGTATCAAAGCTACCAGACGCATCGAGAATTATAGAACAACCAGGAAGATTGTGTGATTTTTAAGATCCACGCCGATCGCTTCCCGCTGCTTCACTTCGTGAGCGTGTCGGAGGGTTTCAGTTTCCGGACGACATGGAGCGACTTCGACCGCTCGTCGCCCCACTTCAAAAATATTTCGTCTCGCTTAATCCAAAATTGTGGGCATTTGTAACTATTGTCCGTTGGACGTGCCGGAACGACCGCGACATGGCCACTCAGACACGGAACATTTTGTCGGCGCTAATCCGGCGAGCCTCGTGCCGGCCTACGCCTCTAGGCCATCCGAGAGAAATGCAAAATTTGTCCGCTGAGGAGCAGAGTTCAAGCCGAGAGTCCGGCGGTGCCGCTTCCGAACAGACGTGCTCAGTGCGCGCAGAGATGGAATCGCCACGGCGATATAAGCTTGGGCTCGGCTTCTGTGAACTTCTCCGGCCGTGGCGAGATAATCGGCGCGTACATCCGGTCGAGCTCCTACAGAGAGCGTTGAGGCTGAGGGTATTCAGCTAGTTTTTGAACAGGCTCTCGAGCGATCGTGCGACGAATTATTCATTTCTAAACTTCCAGGTGCAGGATCGATCATCAACGGTGTCTGGACAGGGACCTGGAGCTGTCGACGTCCTTAGAGGAGGTTCCAGGGAACTCCACGCCAAAGACGGTCTGAGCGCAAACGACGATTCGTCGTCCCTGTGCTCAATGCAAGCTCAACAGGATGAACACCTCGCGGCAGTTCAAGGCCTCCTGCGGAGGGCATGCACTGTCCATGTTGGCCCGAATCAACGCCTTTTTTACATGAAGTAAGTTTGAGAAGTTTGAGCTATCCGCGCACCGAATCGGCACTGTCGCGGGAAATTGCACCGAATGACATCTGACCTCCGCTCTTTTTCTAGCCATGAAACTCGAACAACTTCGTGGGTTCCCCCTGTTGAAGCTTGGCGAGACCCTACGCTGCCATATGGTTGGGAGCACTCCGTCGATTCCAAAGTTGGTATCACTCCTCAGAGCTTGGGACGATTCCCGATCCTTCTTATCTGAATGCGCACAGATTCGGTCCGAAATGATTCTGGCGAATAATTCCTTAATCTGTCCTTTCACAGGGCGTAGACTACTACATCAACCATGTAAATAAAACGACAACCTACAACAACCCGAGGAACGATTATACTTTAGAAGAGCCTCCTCCGGCCCCTAGAGAGGTAGGTTGTGGGGTTTCGGATACTGGATCTCAAATCGTTCGCGGTAGAATCAGTGCTTGCGAGTTCGTCCTTAGAGAGGACATCCGCTGTCCTCGCATCGACTCTAATCGACGTCGAATTCCGTGCAGGTCATACTTGAGCGACACCAGGAATTAGGTTTTGGCTTTGTCGCTGGCTCTGAACGTCCTGTGATTGTTCGTTTTGTGACTGAGGGAGGCCCATCCGAGAGCAGGTAAGCAGCGTTAACTCGGGGCAAATACTTCCCCGAGTGAGCCACCCCAAGAGTAGGAGGCAACCCGAGGTAGCAATGGCCATCGGAACCAGACGGGAGTGCTTGGTTGCTTTCGAGTGCTCGAAGGCTAAATCAGTCGGAAATTATACGGTGACCCTGGCGAGCCTGAAAACTCACTCCTGATTTCGCGATCTGGTACTCGACATGATTCGAGGGAATGAGAGTGACTCTGAGCAGTCTCGGTCTAATCATGAGCGATTCAATCGAACATACGAACGAAATGGAATGAGGGATACCGATGACCGGCTTCCCGTGGTTCCTCGACAAACCCGACTCGCCGAAAAATTCTGCACTGTGTCAATGATGATGTCGTTTCTCATAGTGAGTTACAGGGTCGGAATGAGACAATGGCTTCGTTGCAGATTGTTGCCCGGGGACGAAATCCTTGCGATTAACGGTCAGGACGTGAAAACGGCGCCGCGCGAACAAGTGATCGACATGGTCAAGTGAGTTCAAGAATTGAGTGGGAGGAGCGTCACGGAAGATCTCGAGGAGCATCCACAGTATTCCTCCAGCAGCGAGAATACTGTAGATCCTCCTCGGCCTGAGGAAATCGACTCTCCTCGACCGAAGAAAAGTGAACCGCTCGAGTGCTTGCGGTGCTCTTGCTATGCAAATAACACCGAATCGAGCCAGCAACCGATGGCAATTGTGATCGCTTATGTTCTATTCATATTCTAGGTCATGTCAATCCAGTGTCACGCTCGTTGTGTGCCAACCTGTCACAAACAATGTGAGTTCCCCTCTCGCGTTCGCTAGATATACTGAAACAGAATTTCCGGATGTTGAGACTCGAACTTGAGATCTGTTCGACAATCGTAATTTGGGGCGCTCCCCAGACGCTCGGACCCGTCCTTTGGTTCACCTGCCACTCTAGGCGTCTGCGGTGAATGTCGTCTTCGCGCGACCACGGCCGATGTTGCGTGACCCCGCTAGCTGCGGGAGGCTTGTTACAGAACACGCAATCCAATGTTCTTGACTGAGATTTCCATGAACGTCTCGATGAGCAGGAATTTCGTCGGACGGAGTCGATGGGATTTTGCTCCATGGGAACGTCCCATCGCGACTGGAATCGGGGACGGCTCCCGCACTTCCTGTTGATGACCTTGGATTCTGTACATAGATTGCCTCGAGCAACTCCGCAGTCGACAAAAACTAGCGAGCGATGGAGCTGCCTAATTTTCTCCTCGAATTTCCCCGTTTCAGACCACGAAGAAATCCGCTCTCCTCACGGCGGCGAAAAAAGCGAAGCTTCGATCAAGACCGTCCCGAGTTCGATTCGCCGAGGGCGTTGTAATTAACGGTAGTCCATTGTATAGTTCCGATTTAGAAGGTTCACCGATACCCAACGTGATGAAGGTCTTCCTTGAGAACGGTCACACTAAGAGCTTCAAATACGACAACTCTACGTCAGTCTCATCGGTTCTGGATGTTCTCAAAGAGAAAGTGAGTTCTTTTCCTTCGGGATTCTTTGTGGAGTTTTTTTCTCCTCTAATTTCTCCTTCCTCGAGAAGGAGTTCAGCTCTCAATATTGAGGCCGTCCGATCGAAAATTGCTTCCTACTCGGAGACCTCGTTCCCCAGGCTGGTATTTCCGATAGCGCCGCAGATCTCTTCGGTCTTGTTGTGGAGCAGCTCAAAAGCGTAGGTGGACGCAAAAATAAAATCACTCTACTAGACCCACGCGAAACGCTAGCGAAGGCAAGTTCCTCTGAGATCATTTTGTCTGCTCCTTTTGCTCATCCGGAATTTCTGGGAGGACGCTCGCTGAGAAGCATCACCGGGAAAATTTTCATTATATTGTCCCTCTCAATCGCCAGATCGCAGCCTTACCAGGCTCACACAATCTGCGGTGTCTCTTTCGCGTCGCCCTCCTCCCTTCGGACCCCTACGAGCTACTCCAGTCCTGTCCACAGTCTTTCGAATATCTGTATCAGCAGTGCTGTAATGATCTCGTCCACGACAAGATCACCCCCCAGGTCGAAGCTCATGTGGCTCTTCGGCTCGCATCTCTTCATTTGCACCAACATTTGCTCACACAAGGTCTCCAAGGCAAACCCAACGGGATCAAGCAGATCGAGTGAGTTCTTTTTAATGAGTTTCAATGCAGTGGATCTGTTTCCAATGCGGCGATTTTCTCTTCCGGGATGGATGAGCTAGAATATTCTGCAATGCTTTCCAGGGGAGAATGTGGCCTTACACGATTTGTGCCTTGGTCCCTACTCGAGTCCATGAAGCGGAAACAACTACGGAAAATCTTAGCTCAATTCATGAAACAGAACGAAGGTCTCTGTTCTCCCGGACAGAAGCAGCTGACGCCGTTGCAGGTGAGTTGAGACGAATCAGATCAGGCTCGGTTCGATCCGATGATATCCTCTCTATACGATTAAGAGACTGCGACTCTCTCCCTCAGGCCAAATTGCATTTTCTCAAAATCATGTCGGAGCAGCAAGGTTACGGATGTCGATTCCTAGAACCCGTTGTCGAATGTGAGGGTTCGACGTTCCACCAGGGCGAGTATATTTTGTTGAGTGGTCGTATAGGACTGTGCAAGTTCCATCGGCCACCCGTGCACCCTCTCAATGCACACTCAGTCCCCCATCTGCACAACCATCATCAGCAACCGCAACAAATGCAGATCAACATAGACAAAGTGCCTCCGAAAAACTCGGGTGGGTTTTCTTTTTCCTCACCTCACATTCGACTTGTTTCGGCGAATTTGATTTATCGATGGAAAGTGGGCGATATCGAGAATCCTCATCCGACTGGACCCATCGAGCGTGCCTTATACCCTCGGCAGATTCCTCCGTGCCACCCGTGGCTATCGAGGAACGCGGTGATGGGAGCGTTTCTTTGACGGCGAGCGCAAACAATCACCAGCCCATATCGGAGTTAGTGAAAATAGAGAACATCGGCAAGGTAGTCATATCGAAAGAGGACGATTTCACATACATCATCAACATTCTACCGACGGTGAGTCAGGCGCTCATCTTCCGCTCGAATTCAATGAGAGCTTCGGAATATTCAGTGGTGGTCTGGTGGACTGTGGAAAACGTCCCCCGATACGAGATCGCTGCATCCCTTCAGAATATCGTGATCGGAATGGAAGAGCGACCTATGTTGGAACTCGTTCTGCTACTGAAAGGTTACTACCAGTTGCTGAGGCATGAAGAACTTTATGTGGAGTGGCAGACTATAAATCCCTGGGAGGTAAGCCTCGAAGCTATTCCGCTCCTTATGGTATACACGCGCGCTTGCCACGTACAAGCATATGTCTCGGCGAAATACGAGTTCTCGCGAAGTTTGCGAGAATGAGTTTAACAGAGCTCGTCCCCCGTCTAGATCGAGACGGCTCCGGTGTATCACGGAAGTCATTTAGTCGTTCCGCGAAACTGGAGTTATTGTCCCCCTCTCGAAGACGACGGCTCCCCCGAAGGGCTCCGCAAAATGGACTTCTCGTTCCCGACTCCACCATACGTGCCCAACGAGGTGAGGCCCTGCATCCTTTCGGGTTTACGTGGTCTTCAATCCCGCTGATTACGAGAGGAATTGAGGTTTCACGGCCTGGCATGCATAAATCGAGGGGGGATTCGGGAGTCGGCCAGAAGTGCCTGTAATCGAGACTGTGCATCCTCACGTCTGATCGCATGGCAATAAATCGAAAAGTTCCGCTCCTCCCAGGTGATCCTGAGCGAGTTCCGAAGCATTTCCCGGAGCAGTTCAACGACAGGATCTCAAAGGAATCTAGATTTCAACATGAATCTAGCCAGTGAGTCGGGATGATCGGTCACCGAGATTTATTCTTGAGCCAATGGTCGATCTCAGAATAATCACCGATTCGACCAGGACGCTCTAATCGGAGGAAAACCTGAACTCGTTACAGATCGTTTCGAACTCAATGCGGAATCCATTCACGCGAGTCCGTCCGTGGCCAAGCCGATAGAGACCATCAATCATCGCGTTGTGGCCCGTCAGTTGGAGAAAGCTTATCAGCAGATGCGGGACAGCCCCGTACACTTCACGTTGGGCGACGACGACGGTCTCCCGTCGGCCACGACGCCAGATATACTCGGGCAAGTCAGACCTGACGACGTCGGCTCCATCAACGAGAGTACGTCGTCAGGCGAAACCAATGACGACAAACCGCCGCATCTAAAGGTTGGTACCGCATTCGCCGCTCGAAATTTCCACCACGCCTCCAGCCTTGACGACTGGCGACGAGAGAGCGCTCCGACCGGATATTCCAGTTGAGGAGGGTTTCCTCATTATCGGCGGCACGCTCATCATCGGCTCGGATCATTTTCTAATGGATCACAAGCTAGCGAACGGGAATCGATTTCCTTGAGTTCTTCAGTCGGAGTTCGTCGTTTTGGATCGCGCTCTTAGGGCAGAGTGGATTTACCTAACGGAGTTATGCAGTGATTAACGACACCCCCTGTTTTCCCCCTCGTTTCGCACACAGGCCGCAGACTCATTGTTGCTCTTAGCCGCGGCCGCTGGTGCTGAGGTCGCGACGATCTCGAAAGAGATCTCTACTGAAGATTCCGATGACTCTAGCGATACTAGTAATATAACGAAGAACGGAAGGAACCTCAAGGACATCTTGACTAGAGACCATCCCGACCGAAATAGTTTATCGAGTAACTCCTCGGGTGAGTGCACGAAATTTCTCCTCGAACCATCTTTTCACTCTTCCTTTGTCGCTCTCTCTTGACCAGAGTCGGATCCTCACTTGGATCGAGGGCACAGCGTTCGTTCGATGCTGTATTTCCACGAGATAATCTAGCTCGATGTCCTGTGACTGACGCCTCGCTCTTTATCCCTCATGAAGGCAATTCGACGAATAACATGCAGTCGTTCACTGGACCCTTCGACGGTCCACCCGTGCGTGCTTCATTTGCCAATTATACAGATACCTTGAGAAAATACGAGGCCATGGCTCTTCGGGAGACGTTACCCAATGAGCAGGGGACCGACTCTGGCAATCCGCATAGCGTAACTCGGATTGAGCTTCCAGCTGAAGGCAGTCTGGGTAAGTCTTGAACTCCAACCGATTGCGAAGAGCTGGTATTCGTTGATGGCTCAGCGCCCTGGTGGATTATGTCATCCTGAGTAATACCCCGACATCGCAATATTGCCCATGATGATGATATGATTGTACGCTGTTAATTGTAGAATGCACTTCACCCCCACAGGCAACGCAATTTTCGATGTCGGCGAAGTGATAGACCTGACCTTGCTGCCTCCACCGTCTACACCGGATTTGGTGGATTTCGCAGATTTGGCCGATCTGGGCCCCCTGATAATCCCTCCGCCCCCGCCGCCGATCGAGTTTTGTACCCAAAACGAAATCATCGCGCGTTTCGAGCAAGCTTCTAGGTGAGCCGATAGTCCTTCCCCACCCCACTCAGTCCAAGAACGACCGCGTGCGAAAAGTATTTGTGTTGGACGCCACAAAATTCTCTTATCGAAGCTCTGGCCTAACGCTGGCGATTGCCCCAACAGGGATATCTACGACATCATTCAGACTCCCCCACCAAAGGCTCCGCCACGCCAAAAACGAGGTTCTCCTGAACCAGTTAAGGTAAGTCGGCTCATCCGAGAGTTCGATATTCTGCTCGGTGTTTTGACTACGTTTGTGTTTGTTGCCCGTGCTCGGTGTCTTGTACCTCGTCCAGTCCGAACGAGTACCATTGACCGCTTCTTGTTCGCTCCCCACCCAACTCGCTCCTAAAACAGGATTCTTAAGGGTAGGTCTCATTTGTTTGTGGATGGTTCTTGTGCTCTTCAAAATCCACTACCTAATCTTTCGTCGAAGTCTGCACGCTATTTCGGTTCGGTATGACTTGAACGAACGTCGTTCCTACAAGATACCGATCTCTACAGCCAATCCGACTCTCTCAACATCTTCCGGCACCACCTCCTGATCTCGAGGGTGTCTCTTTGAGCACGGCCAGGACAACGTCTTCATCATCCAGTCCTCCGTCCGTGGTGAGCTTCGTGAAGAAGGCGTCCGCTGAGCAAAACAGCGGGTTCGTACGAGCCCAGCAACAAATTCTGACTATGGTATGTGCGGTGGAGAAAACTGATGTGACAGCGACTAATTGACGCGAAGGAATACGTATGATATCGAGAGGTTTGCCGTGGTCGGATCGAACTCACGAGGTTGCTATCGTTCCGCAGGCGTCTCGGCTGAAACGAGTCCATTCGATGAAGAATCAAAGTAGTGTCACAAAGCGAGACCCGATCAAATTGTCCCAGGCTCACGACGCGTTGATTTCCGAAGCCCGCCAGTTCGTAACTAGCTCAAAATTGTTAGTTAAGGAAATGGTGCTGAAATCCCAGAAGAGAGACATAGGAAGCGTCCAGGTCGAGAAACTCCACGACCATTTGGTGAGCAGGACCGCGTAATGAATCATTCTATTCTGCTTTGAGGACGAGGATTTCGCTCCCACCACCGACAGGAATTCAACCTTGTCTGCTCTCTCTCGACCCCCAGATCACGTGCGTCGCCCTGCTGGAGCGAATGTTCCTTTACTGCGAAACAGTCTTGATGCAGAGCGCGGAGGTGTGTCATCCTCTTGCCGATCAGATGGATAAAACGGCCATGGAGTTCCACAAGATTATCGGGATATACCAAACAGGTTGGTTGACTGCTTTGGCAAAGAGAACTGCTGCACTGAATGTTCCCGTGACGTTTGAACCCCATAGTTCTCAATAAGGGTCAGGGTCCCCGCTAGCCCGTCGATAGATTCCCGATTGGAAGCCGGTTCTTCCTCGTTCCACAGTCGATCTAACATTCGCTTCCATTCCAGGAGAAGGTACGACCGAAGAAGAAATTGGAGGTCAGTTGGCCAGAACCCTCAACTCGTTGATGCGAATTCTCCGAACTTGAACGTCCGGAACAATCGGACAGGGCTCTCAAGTGTTCAAAGTTTAATTGTCGTGGTCGCTGTGTGCCTCTTCTCATCGAACGAGTCCGGTGGACCCTCACCGAGGCACCGAGCTGCATTCACCGTATATCCGATACGATATACGCGATAGTGAAATGGACCATCGTCACAACACAGAAACGATATACATCGAAAAAGCGATAAAGGAAGTGGATCGACTTTAGGATTCATAATCAGACTACGTAGAGAAACCTGTGCAACCTGCTAGCGTGCAATTCGTAGGCGGATACGAGGAACTTAGTTATCTCCGGAACGAAGGCCTGGAGTGCTATCAGTATTTCTTGGAGGAAAATGCGAAAACTGCACCGGGGCTTGGGTCGTCTTCGTCGTGCGAAATGGCACAGAATCTCCGTCGATCGTAACCCAAAGAAAGAATCTCTTCTCCCAACCAAAAGCACTCATCAAGCCGAGAATATCGCTCCTGTTTCTGCAAATTACTCGCGAAATCCCACAGGGGTTTTTTGAGAAGATCCGACCCGAGCCGGTGAGAGCAACCTCGAGTGATATACATATGAATCCAGTGTAAAGAGTACGACGCGAGCGTATTGAACAAATCTATCCCGAGCGAACAAAGGTACAGAATCGAGCTGGAATTTATATAGAGACAGATTATTATTTATATATGTACGACCTACAAGCAACCTATGTGTTGGCCCTGTGACCACAAGTGAACAGCTCATATACGTCTTTGTCGAGCCTGGAGGATCAGATGTCATATGCCAGGAAGAGAGAAGCGGCTCTGCATGATTTCTCATCGAATTGACATCAGTTGTGAATTCACGGAGGTCTGCGAACTCATGAACTTTTAATAAAATTTCGTGAAGTGCAATGTCACGCTGTCTCCTCCTTATAAATTGTCGCACTCGAAAATAGGCTATCTTCGGGGCGATATCGGGTCGGAGGAGGTTTCGAAACTTTCGTCGGGACCGTCTGCTTGAACCCCAGCTCTGAGAAATTGAGTTACATTCCGTTCGTTTGCGAGGATCGTGAGGAGTTCCTCAATGCTTCGGGACGAGTCAGCAAGAACATGCGAAGCGCTCTCGTTCCGCCGATCAGAGATGAAAGCGCTCGGGCTAGAGCATCGCCGACAACTATCGTAACGTCGACCTGACTGTCGAGCCGCCTGTCCGGGCGGCCTGAGCATAGACGGTCTCATAAGCATAATAAAATGACCTTTGACTTCTCTTGCTATGCCGACCAGTCGCTCCCCGAAGCGCGGACGGGAGACGTCGAGGAGATAAGTTTGTTTGACTACTGACTGCTGTTGACTACGGCCGGCTGCTGGCGCGAGAGGGATTTGGGAGCGAGGGGTGGACGCTGCTTGGGAAAGAAGAGACCTGCTCAACTATTGGAGATCTTGACGAGATTGATTTATTCCCAGCGAATCAATTCCGTCCATTTTACTGCTAAAGTCTTTCTGGCTGTGTTGTTGCGGATTCTGTCGCCGGACTCTGTCTGAAGTCAGAGAGAGAGGTGCATCCTCCTCCTGACGATGTGAAATCGAAGAAAACTCCGGGAAATGCTACGGATCCGACCGCATGTTTCTCGCGGAGTCGGTGAAAATCGGATACATCTGGTGATCACGCCTCATGTTCACGCCGAGGTTAAGCGAAGGAAAGTTTCAACAGTGTCCGTACCCTCTGAACGGGTCGATCTCTGCGAATCCATCCGAAAGTGGAGGGATCTCGCACGTGGAGTGTGGGTCATGCCGTCGGTTCTTGTGAAGGTCGCTCGGTCGGAGGAAGTTGAAAATTTCGATACGCTGGTGATATTTCCCCGTTCTTTTCGTGCAATGTTACCATCAACACAATAGCTCGTCAGTTGTCTCGAACGACGAATGCGAGCACCAGTCAATGACTCAGGGGCCACTCGAGATTACGGCTTTACGATCTCTCGATAAAGTCTCACCTCCTCTGCTTAGTACAAAGTCGTTGTTGCAATAAAACATCGAGATTCAAAAAACTTCCACCAACGTAGCCGATATTATTTCCTCGGAGGGAAAAAACACTTCCGATCCGATCGTCGACCAATTTGTGCAGCTCCAGCGACGGTCTCCGAACGTTCCGTTGCGTAACACTCAATTTTTCCACCCCGCGACGCCAAGGTATTTAAGTTAAAGCCAGCTTGAAGCTTCGTTTCCATTCAATTCGCATAGAAGAAGTCAACAGACCTCTAGGAAATGGCCTATTCGAATTCCTCCCGCTAGGTTTCGATTCGTAACGAACAAGCTCGTACTACGGGAGCAACGAGCACTCCGGGGAAGTTTTGCCTTATTTCCAAAACATCAAAGCAATGTGTTTGGGTTGAGATCTGTGAATTCGTCGGCTGTCTGGCTTACCGAGTAGAACGACGGCTCCGACCAACTTGCAGAGGCAAGCACTCGACCGAGCTTAATGGGAGCAAGGCGACTCCTTGTGCAGTTTCTTCTCGAGCGAGCTCAGCGTCTCCGGGTCGTCTTGAACTCGCCGATGCACGTGATGGGATCGATCACCGTTACCGCCGAAGCGCTCAGCAGTATCCGCTCGTTGTATGACGTCAAACGTCGTGGTTAACCGATGCTATCTTCAGGCTGCAGTCAACAATCGATTGTGGTTCAGTGTGAGCGGACTGCGAAGTGCTTTCCGGCTGCTGCGATGACACTTTCCAGCGGATGTTGGCCTTTGGTCAGGATCCGACCTTCCGGCCTTCTGCTAGGCTCAAATCGAGAGCCAGGGCTTCAGGGCTCAGGACTAGATCCCAAGAAAGATCCGCGCTCTATCAGTATTCTCTGATTTGACGAAAGCTGAAGTGTTTTTGGTTCTGATCAGCTGTCGGCTTCAGGGATTCCTGCCCACGGATCCGCTACCTAGGTAACTGTATATCTCTTGATAGACGATTTACCAAAAACGGAAATGCGAGCTCATAGTCTGGAAGGCATATTTAGACTAGTGTCTCTTTCTCGATGCTACTTCGGTGGAAGCTGAGCCTCGAAATTCCGGAAAACCAATGAGCGGGACTGTTTTTTGATACTCGCACGCGCGTTCCAAAATACTTCGTTCGCTGGCACACGGAGCTGACTCGATTCAGACCGAATCTCCTTCGGTCGAGTCGGGAATGTAGCGAGCACCTGGTAGAAGGGGGCTTAGTTCAGAATCGTGGAAAGCTCGCCGATAAACAGTCGAGATTGCAGTCCTAATAGCCGCCACTCTCGATTGTATTGCGACGATCGTTGATTCAAAGCAAGGTTTTCCATCCTTCCACTCGCTCTGCGGAAGGCGGGCCGGTTCTTGGAGAACACCGAATATGGCGCGAGCGAGAGCTCCCCTGATTCCATGCTAGGGCTTCCTGCTCTCACGATCTCAAAATAGGAGCGGCTGAATCCCGTGATGTCTGACTTCTTCGCAGAGTCGCAACCGGAGACTAGGCCTAGTTCAGTGAAGATTTGAATATGAATGGAACTAACCGAGGAAAATAATTATCATTCCTGAATTCGGAACGATTCTAACAGGACCTGGAATGCTTTATAGAGTCGTCGATGTTTTTTTCGGTCCATCCGACGAAGCTCGGACTTTTCTCTGCTGCTTCGGTCGTACGCAGCGCGGCTTCGGAGCCAATCAGCTCCGGATATCTACAGCGAGAGAGATCACCCGGTGTCCGTCCACTCTTCTTGGGAAAGGAATCAATCGGGCGATTATGAAAGCCTAGAATCACCTGATGTACTTCCGTGACGGAGCGATAAAGTCTGGGGAGCGAGCTGAATCTCAGAATTCGGCGCGAATGTTGATTGCCGAGGCATAAGCCTCAGATCTACGAGATTTTTTTGAGGTTGAGAATTGGAGCTCTTCGATCGACTCACACTGCAGAGTCCACATCGTAACCTCCGACCGGGATCGAGGATGAGACACCTTCGGAAATCGCATATAAGGTCGGATCTTGATCCAGTCGATGGCAGACGACGATCAATTAGAACTCGACAGAGAGCTCAATTTTCAACGATTTTGTGATCGGTCTCCAACAGGCCCAGTATTGGTCTTTCATACGGTAACTCTACTCGATGTTCGAGTTTCCGAAGATCGTGGGCTTTTGCGAATAAACTAAATTTCCTTTCTCCTTTCAGAAATCGTCGCGATGAAACGACTCCCGATATCGCACGCCTGAAAGGCCGTAGCTCTACTTATTCGACCATAAGCTTGGTTGGATGCATCGAAGCGATTTCAATATCGGAGTTTTTCTTACAGATGAATCGCTCCGGGGGTGTCTCTGCCACGAGAGAGTCGCGTAGTTCACCGATAATGATCATGATGCAAAATAATTTACCCTCTCCATCGAGACTTCGCTCTTCGCTGTTTTGTTCCCCAGCTGCACGTCGCTACCGCTTGTTCCTCTTACCGTCGTCTGAATCAGTGTCGGAGAATATGTGGTTACTTATTTCAATGATTTCTGTTCCATAGGGACTGAGCTACAAATCGCACAAATCGAGCAGATAATGTCTTTTCTCCCGCGAAAACGGAGACCTAAAGGAACCGGACCCAGAGCCACCAAGAATACCGGGAAAACTTTGTACAGGTGAGTTCCGTGAGCAGTCTCCGAGGGGAAGGAAATCCATCGAGGATCAATTTCTTCGGACACAGGACTCACTCTACTTATCGGACACGTATGGTTATTCTCGGTGATCGGACGAGTTCAGGTATATATTTCCAGATGTGATCAATGCGAGTACGAAACTTCTTGGCCCTCCTGGCTGCGAACTCACAAGCGAGTCCACACCGGCGAACGACCCTTCAAGTGTCATTTGTGCTCGTACAGCTCTTCCCAGAGTTCCAATCTTCAGCAGCATTTGAAAAGACACTCGGACGAGAGACCTTTCAAGTGCAATTTATGCGAGTACAGGTGAGCAGAAATAGCTCAGCACCATTTGATCCTCCTCGTCTAGACGAGTTGTTGTCCATGGCGAACTTATTATCATTAATATCTTATTATCTTCGCCATATCGATATTGTGTGAAATCAATGTCGTGTTTTTATCTTCCCGCAGTTGCAAACGGGGTCATCAGCTGAACACCCACCGCAGAACGCATATTCCGAGAGATATCCTCCTGAATATGCCGGCAAGCAGCCCGATGAACAACCTGGATTACGCTCTGGGCTTGGATTCGGGTTTTCCCGGTGTCTCCGTACCGGAATACCCCGTCGTCCCCTCCAGCGGAGGACCTCTCGCGTTGGCAGCGGCCGCGGCCGTAGCTTCGTCCAATGCGAGCATTCAGAATTCCACGATGGAGACATTCATGGAGCACTGGAAAGGCTTGAACGACATGGAACTCCGGAATTCCGCTGCAAACGAAGAGAACTTCCAAGTGAGAACAAAATCGGACGACGAAAGCTCCGACGACGGAACCGGGAGCAGTCCAGGCCGACTTCAGATCGATGAGCCATCGATTAGCTAATGTCGATTCGGCGACATCCTCTTCACCGAACGCTTTGCTCGCGACTTCCCCAGCATGAAGGTCCCGACACGAAGATCTTTGCACAAAAAGTCCGCGCGCTTGCGCCCACCGGTAAACCTCCGTTTTCGGGCTCTCTCCCTAGTGACGTTTCCTACTTAGGTGAACCGAGTCTCGGGTGTAGTCTCTCGGAATAGAATCGGCTGAATAAGGTTCTGTGCACCTATCGTGTAGTGATTATTTAGATTGAGCTTCGAAATGCAGTGGCGGCGATGGTGCGATCAGAATTCCAGAGTCGCGGTCCTTGTTGTCGACATGTACCTCGAAATTATCCCGACTCCGAGTGGGATGGATTTCTGATTAGTTTCGATTGAGATGAAGCTTAATTTCAGTTCAGCTAGTCATAGGAGCGCTTCGCGGCCCTCCTTCGGTTCTATCATGCTTAAAAATCGTGTATATACTTTATCATTGAAGTCACGGAAGGTGGCTGTCGTCGAATACGTCTGATGCTTATGATTGCGTTCATCATCTGATATACAGAGTGTGTCGACGGAACCGATGATCAGCGGTTGCCATCGAGTCCGCAGTCCCGACCCGTTTGTTCGTTCCGCGCTCTGAATAAAGTCAGTACATGATAAGGGATCGGAATCCCGCCTCGTCTTTTCCATGTCCATAGGAGAACGCGTGCAACCCTCTGAATTGACGGAAAAATCGCTGAGCACAAAAAAATTAGTCCGGAGACGTGGAATCATTTCTCAGAAAATCGCAACGTTCGTAGTAGAGCTGCTCCTGAATGGTGCCGTCGATTGTCATCGACCGAGAGCACCACGGATAATGGTGCCGTACGCTGCCGAACGTTGTGGCTCTCAAGACAAACAGTTGTTTCGTTGGCTTCCATTACGTTCGATGTATCCTCTCCCGCGGCCCCTCAGAACACCGTCTGATAATCGAGTATCGCTGTGAGTTCTCGGATGCCCACCATCACGTTATATAGGAGCTCACACGTTCATGGTGATGGAGGCTGAGAGGTTATCGAATTCCGAGTCAGCTGTGACCTCTCGAAGTAACTTCTGGTGTCGAAGGTACCGTGCCACGAAAGCAAGACTGGAGAGTGCCGACCAGCCTCACGGACGCTTGGGGTTGCCCTGTCAGGACTTGTCAGACATATATTTGATTCCGCTTCAAAAATCGTCAGGTTCCAGGATCAGGTCGTACGTTTATTGGGTGTTGCGTCGTCGGTCCCTCCGTGGAGGAAATCTATTTTCATCCTGATAATCGTCGGCTTCCTGCTGAACGTTGCGGACTTACTCAATCGCATACTAATATTCGAAGAGTCCCTTCCGGAGAAGAAACTTATTCTGACTCTAGTGAGTGAATCATCCAAATTTTATCGATGCTCGTCATTCTGCTGCAATGCAGGTACTAAATTCCGAATGGTCTGTTCTCGGCATTCATGATTATTTGCTTTTTTTTTCAAGATATTTTTCACGCCTTCAGTTCGCATACCGTACCTCATATCACGCAATCACACGAAGCTGCGTGAAAACAATCTGATGCTACCATCACTACGAGATCGCTTCTACGAGCTGCATTATAAACGGAAGGTGCTCTTGGACGGAATCAGTTCAAAGAATCGAGAGGGATTCTCACAATCTCACTCAGATCGGACGATAAGTAATTGTATCTTCATACTCCTATTGACCTCTTTCTTTTCGGACACCAACGGCAGGTGAACGATGCTGCTGCGAACTACACAATAGCTCTGGGTCAACATATCGGAGGGATGCACAGCCGCAGATGCTCCCGAGCATTGTTCTTAACTCCGCGAGTTGTCAATCTGAAAGCTTCGACGGCGCTGTTGTATCAAGGCTACTATGGCCTTCAAGATACGCCTCCCTATACATTTTCACGGCGGAATGTAATTCCGACGCCTGTGAGTTGGGAAGGTGCTGTGGAGATTACGACAGAAGCTTTTTTGTAGCAGGCCATCGTGGTCTCCGATATATAATACTGAATTTTGGACTCTCTGTTTGACCCTTGAAAAAATATTATCAGGAAGATCGGAACTCGCGCTGGAATCTCAGGAATCAAATGGCGGAGCAGAATGAAGCGAATTTGTACACAATCACCTTCGACGGCCGGAGTGTCGCGGCCTACATCCGATTTCTGAACCGCAAAGCTCGCGAGGTCAGTGTTCGACGCATCGGAAGCTCAACCATCAATTTAATTGAAATTCCTTCCGGTTCGGCTAGAGTCAACGGGCTCTTGTGTGCTAAGTTTGTTGTTCCAGGAGGGACTCTTCACGCAAGAGCTTGACAATGGCTCCAACGTACTGGATCTCCTGCTATTTCAACACTATTCCGAAGGTGGGGAGCCGCGATATTTTTTCGAATAAACTTCAGAGCGTCAATAGATTGAGGGATCGAATTGGAGCTCCAGGCTTCTCGTGATGACTCCGCCTTCTAAAGTTCAAATGCCTTGCAGGTAAAGAGCTGCCGGCTTGGGCTGATCTGAGGAAGCTGAATTTCTGCTATGATGCTATAATACGCACCTTGGTCAAGGTAACTTCGAATTCGTTGGCCCCCGACAGGGCTGGACTCCGTGCGTAGCTTTGACCGATGCCGTATATGTTATGCTCACGTCCTTCCGGGCCGCTGTCTGGAGGGAATCTACAGGGAATACAGCTGAAAACTGCCGGGAAATACAGAGATATCGGGCTAAAGTTCGATTGACGATCCGACGGATAATTTCAAACGACGCTCCACCTGTCGTTCCGCAGGGGTTCGAACAGAAGCTCGCGAAAAGAATACTCGAAGACGTCCTGTCTCGTCTTCACAAGCTCAAAAACGACCTACCGTCGTACAACGTGGTATTCTACGCTACCGACTACGAGGAGCTTCTGGGTCTTGACAAGTACTTGAATATTGTGCTACCTTTCCAATTCGTGAGTCCGTACACAGCTTTTGCGATAAAAGTGAGTCTGCTGAGATCTTCAATTCATCCCCGGCCCTGGCTCTCCGCCGAATCATCTCATGAATATTGACGGGAGAGAACATGGACACGGGTCGAGAGAATTCCATCTCTGTACCGATAACGGACCGTTCCCTAGGTGTATCGTCACGGCTATACGGTGTGGGAGGTGCTTCACATGCAGACGGACCGGACAATTCAGAAACCTAAGGTTCACACCTACCGCAATGAGCATACGGGAATGAAAAACGTCACTTCGATATTGCAAGTTCTCGAAGCAGCTGGTTACCAGCCTCCACGTCAACAATGAAGACCATTGTTCCCTACATCCTGGGAAATAAGTTTCTCGGCAGCGGACTCTCATTGAGAACTTCAAAGTTGATTTGCGTCTCGAATCATTATCATTATCACTTCACGAGATATCGCTTGTCGAATAAAGCGCCCTCCTTGATTAGATTACGGCAGAGTTACTATCCCAGAGCGATCTGAGAGTCCAGACCGAACTATACCGGTCGATTTGAGTTCGGATTCGCAGAGATTCGCCTCCTATGTTCAAGGCCGCCAGGCGTCGAATTTCGGGCGAACCCGAGATCGGACGCAAGCGCGGAACAGGAGACCGCTCCGTCCTTATTGCGGAAGCACTTCTTGAGGGAACCTGGCTTTGACAGCAGACTGATTGCTCTGTTCGCAAATGGATCGCTCCAAATTTCCCCGATTCGAGAGGATGCTCGAGCGTCTGCGAGCGAAACCTCACAAACAATAACGCTTTCAGTATGAACAGACTCGCTGGCGGCCGGGAAGAGTGAGAATCGCGGCTGGACTGGGAGACGCCGGAAGCAAGAGCCAATTTCAGATCTCTCGAGGAGCGTGTCTGTCTGAAGAAAGAAGTCAAGGGCTACTGGACTCGAAACTCGTACCATAGATGCGCGACATACGTAAGCGAAGCCTTTCACTGCCGCGTGATTCCCTCATCGGAGAGTTCGTGTCTCTCCCCGGATGCGGTCCACGAGAGGGAAGCAAGAGGAGCGACTTAAGGACAACTCGAACAGTTTTCTCGCAGCTCTCTGCCCGCGGAATTCCAGAGCGATATCCAAGAGTATACGAGAGATCCGAGACCGATAGGGACGGGAGGACGTGAGCGCCTAATGAATGGGTCCGCTCCCAATCCGATGGAGCTCATGAGGCTCCGCAGGACGCAACTCACGGAGACATGCGTTACGTAGGCCTGTTGAAAACATCTGGGTCGTTTGCGGGCTAAAGATGAGTGGTAGCACTGAGAAGATCCGGGAGACTTTGTCGGAGTGCTCTCGGGATCCAGATGTATAGATGTAATTCGGTCATTCCGTAACTTTCGGAGGATTGAATGCTCGTGAGACGATTGCTGTTCAGGGAAATGATCAACAGGGTCTTCTTCTCGTGTGTCCATTCGAGCCGATGGGAAATAAATCTACGCCAGTTGTAGGAGGTCTCGATGCCGTTGCGATGTTTTCCGAGAGCTTCATTCAACCTTTGCAGACACAGACGTCATTCGTCTAATAATATCAGTTCTTTGAGACCGAGTTGGATTCTAAGTTGAAGAGCTATGCGAGTCACAGCGATTTAAGCAGTGACGTGATCGGTAATGACCGACTCTTGTGCGCATCATACCATCTTCCCTTGCGGTGGCAGAATCGTAGGCTTCAGTTCTCTAATGATAATGGCGTCTCGGCGTCGGCGGCCTTCTTTCAATGGTCACGAGTGTCATTTGCTGGACTACTCGAGCGAATCCCTCTCTTCATAAGGACGCCGAGTCAACAAACAGAACTCCCACTCATCGCAACAAACCCGTCTCATTCAGAGCTCGCTCATCTCGCGGAGATAAGAATTCATTCTGCAACGATACACCCGCTCCGTGGGACGCTTCTGATTTTCTCGGCTCGTGGTATGTTCCAAAATTATAATTGCAATTGATGCCCTCGAACCCGCAGCGTCTGAACTGCATCGAATCGAAAGCCGCCCAAAGTTCACATTGAGTTTCCCTGCGGCTAGAGGTAGGCTTCGAAATATTACAGGAATATGTTCGATGCTATGGATCGTCGTTCCGTCGTCGCGCTTCTTGTGCTCGTGAATTGTGTGGTTTCGGTGACGTGCGCACCGCACATCGTGCGTCAACCCTTTGTGACCCCCTATCAGTCGGGCATCAGCACGGCCTACCTTACGACGGCTTTCAATGCTCCCTTCGTCACCGGGACCAGACTCGATGGGTGAGCCAGTTTCTTCTGTTTACACTTTCAACCCCAATCAAGCTTTCGCGCTTTCGAGGATAATGTCTCGTCGGTATCTAACCCATCCTCCGCTTTCACTAGTGGTCTGGATAGTGGACTCGTCAGAGAGCATACGAGTCTTCGAGAGCAGGATCCCCTGACCGGTCAACAACGATTAACGAATATCGAAACGATAAGGAGCATGGAGCCCACGGGATTGCTCAATCATTGAGCGAGAGTGAGTCAGCTTGGTCATGAGTCAGTCACCAGCATGAGACTCGACTTCGCGTTCTTGACCTCATCCGTCAACCGTCTACACTGTAAACTATCATATAATCTCATTATCGACATTATGCTCCAATATAGGAAAGCAAGGTTTTGTGACCTCTCTGTTATCGAAGAAAAATAATCGGAATAATTCATGAAATCGTTTAATAAATGCATACATCCGCGCATGCCGATTCAGAGAAGAGTTCCGAATTCGAGAGAAGCCTCATTCTTCGAAATAGCCAACTAGTAAGTGTCAGCTGAATTTCCCCTCTCTCGCGGGCAATGTGGATAGACACGCGGTCAGCTGTCCTCGCGCCCTCACCCGGATCCTCGCCCCCGGAAACCGCTGAAAGGGCAAGTGATGAACTTGGCCGAACAAGTGCTCTGATATCGAGTTACCGTACACTAACGCCCATATGGCTTGTATTTCATCGGCCCTAGCTCCAGGGCAAGGATGCCGGACGTCCTCGTCGGAAGAGAGACGCTCACTCGATCGATTTCACCGAACATCCGTTGTCGCCACGGACCTTCTTCAGTTTCCCCATGTCAAGTCCGCTCAAAGTGGTTTTTAATGCACACAGTCCTCGACAAGAGTAGACTCATTTTGCTTTGGGCGGGTGCTAGCCTACAGAACATCGAATCGCAGTCGGCACTCGCCCCTTCCTGAAGGCCGACTCCGGGAACGAAATTAATGCCGAAATATCGACTAAAGATGGGAGAAATTCGTGAGAGGAAGCGATATAACGGGCTTTTTTACATAAAGTCGACCCGCAATCGGATACGCCGAGATCTTCGGAGAAGACCGGAGTTTCCCTGAGAAGCAGCTGCGCTCGACTGCTGTCCGAGCGTCGTTCTTGGCATTCAAATTTTAGATGCAAAAGGAATCGCAGCAGCTCTCTGAAGAACGAATCTGAACTCTGATCAGCCCTCGTGACGCTCTGATCACCGTCCCGACGAAGCGTAGCGACCTTCACGGAAGGCGGGAGCGTGAGTAATCTGTCGAGAAATACCCTATAGGGGTTTCAATGAGGTGTCTTCAAGGATAGATTCGTATCCAGAGTGCTCCCTGATGGTAGCCCTTTTATTAATAGTCAAGCATAAATAAAATGAACAAGAGATAGTGCGCCGGCATCGTTCCCTCATCTAGTATTCTTCAACCTCGCATCCGACGTATTTTTCAAGGCATTTATCTCTTCCCTCCTTCCCTGTGCGATAGGCCTCCTTATACCTCTTCAGCGCTTCCTTTGACTTCTCAGTGTCGTATTTCCTGGAAGTAGAAGAATACGAAATGAATGACATGAGTTATTCGCCCATCTCGATCGAAGAGAAAAAAAACTCTACCGGGACCCGAACTGGAGCTGTGGGATAAGATTATCAAGAACAACGTTGGCGATGTTCGAATTGCTTACTCGAAGAACTCCTCGATCTGCGCTCCGGCCTCATCATATTGCCCCGGATTCGAGGATACCAAGCAGATCAGTTTGTCCATGCAGTGGTTCTCGTCTCTACCGGCGATGTAAGTGAAATAGTCCTCAATGTCTTCTTCCCTTCTTACCAGAGCGTAATCTCCATCGGGGTGACTGGGGTCGATTTCTTCCTCGTGTTCTTCTCCGTGCGGCGCTTCGTCTGTGATGAGGACGTCGACGAGATCATCTTCGTCGGCTGAGCGACGCAGTACATTGTGTCCCTGCAGCGCTGGTCTCAGGACTTTGTTCGAGATGAGTTTCCTGGCTTCAGCCAGAAAAGGGTGTCTGACCCTGATTGCGGGAGCCTCTACCGCCGGCGTTGCTTCTGGGAGGGCGTCAACAATCGACTGATCCTTCGTGGTGGTTGGCGAGCTCTCTTCTGACGAGGAAGGAGATGTTTCTGTCTCATCGGCCGAGCTCTGCGGCTCAGTCTCGTTCACGCTCAGATCACTCGAGTTCGCGGCCGAAGCGTCGGATGGGAGGGCGGGTGTCGCCGTCGCGACCTCTTCGTGGGACGAATCGGTCGGGATCGTCTTCTCAGAGGGGGCTGAGGTCTCCGAAATCGTGTCGACGGCGTGCTCGACGACTGTCGTGGTATTGGTTTCGCTCACATGGCTCTCTGAAGAGGTCTGACTTTCCGAAGTTTCCGTCTCTGACGCATTGTCGAAAGACGCTGAATGATCGATTGGTTGCGCCGAGATATCGGCATTCTGCTCAATGACGGCATCTTGTGACACGCTGCCTGAATCCGGCGCAGCGATCTGCGACATTCCAGAGTGCTCGGCGACCGGACGAGAAGCGGGTCGAATAACATTATCCGAGGTAAAGGGTGCGCTCGGTTCAGAGCCCTGATCCACGTTCTGGTGCACGGACGCGACTTGGCTCACCGAACCATCCTCGTTCTGCCCAGAGGGAGACGGCACGTTCTCTCCGAAGGTATCGACGGCGTTCTCCGAATCCGATGCTTGGCTGGGGGAGGTTGGGGGGCGAGAGTTGGGGCGGATCACGTTGTCCGATGTGAAGTCGCTGCCGGATTGGGTGGTCGGAATCTTAGGTGCGAAGAAATCGGTGTTCGATTGCTGACCCTGCCCGGGTTGGACGTCAACTGTCTGCAGAACCGAGTCAGAATCGCTTCCGGAGGCGGACGAAGGATTAGAGGTCCCTGAAGTCGAATCAGAAGAGCTCGAGCTCACAGTCTCCGAGTCTCCCGAAGGACTCTCGATAGAAACAGTCTCTGTAATCGTTGTGGTCGACGAGGACGAGGAAGTCGATTCGGAAACCGTTGTGTGATTGGTCTCCTGGGTGAACACCGACTCCTCGTTCGAGGGCGCTTCGGGAACCCAATTCGACGAAGCACCTTCATTAACCGACGGGAGATCAGACGCTTCTGGTACGGCTTGAGCTTCTTCTTCAATCGGTTGGTCGGGCTTGCCGTAGGCAGAGCTGGGTTCTGGCTGAGGATAATTACTGGGAGCCGATGTGGCATAATTCGACGCTGGCTTCGGACGGATAGCCGGATAGCTCGGTTCAGGGACGGAGTAGCTCGAAACCGGCTTGGGTGCGGGTAGGCCGTAGCTCGCAGTCGGCTTAGGTAGCGGTTTGCCGTAGCTGGTGGACGGTTTGGCGTAGCTTGGGGCTGGCTTTCCGTAGGCGGGTGCAGGTGCTTCGGGCTCTTCGACGGGTTGAGCGTACGCGCCGACGTGTTTTGTTTGAGACTTGATCGCTCCATATTGGTTGCCTTGATGCGATTGGCGACCCCAAGGCATGCCGAGATCGAGAATATCAGTCACTGAGGAGGAGGAAGGCAACTTCTTAGAACGGATTCTTCGGAATGGACTCGGATTGGATACGTATAGAGGCTCCAGGGCAAAGCAACTCACCAGGAGACACGAATCGCTGAAGCATCGGGACTCGCGGCATTTGCAGCTGCATCTCCACTCGACTACCTCCGATTTGGGCAGTCGGCGCGAAACGGAACGTGTTTCTGAGATACTGAGGAAGAAAATCGGAGATGAGTCAGAAAATCGGAGAGTGAGACCGCTCTCTGAGGGCAATCGTATCTGAAAGCGTTACAGGTCGCTAGAGATTTCTTACCGGAAAACGTCGATGAACTTCTTGCAGTTCGCTCTCGGTGCCGACTATTACCGGCATCATTTGTACGTTGGGGCCGAAGCTCTGAGTGTGTAGGAAGCTTGGCGGCTCCGGCGGAGACGGTGCTCCGTGCGTCGAGGCTCCCTAGAAATGGGAGAGGGTTTTCACCGATTGCGGATCCCCGTTTTTCTGCCGGTGTTCGGAAGAAATTGTTATGCGAATGATTAGGCGAGAGCGCTCAACTTACGTTGCCTCGGAAGAAGAAACCGGAGCCCGCACTGAAAGACGGTAGGAACATGCTCTGGCCACCAGGACACACGAGGGAGAGGGCGAGCAGAACGCAATACGGTTTCATGATGCAGCTTCTTGGGTCGTTGCTCAAGCTCGATGAAACTTGTGCTCTGGTTTGGAGAAAGTCTGCTTTATATACTTCTCTGCCTGTGAGGGACCAGACTCGTCGAGGGAGGGTATGAGGGTGCGTATCCGCCAGATCGTGCACCTGAGAGCGGAGAGATGCCCCTGATCAAACAGCCTAGTCGTCTGATCCGAGCGTAAATCGGTGCTTCAGAAGCGGGGTGCCGAACTCCCGCAAGGGGGATTCGTGATGACCACTCGAGAAGAGTCATTAGGGTGGCGAAACCTTGGATGACTTCGGGAGGCTCCAGTTACACTGGGAGCGTATCCAATGTCTGGAGTGGAATCGTACGGTACGGTGTATTGAATCATCCCTCGAACAAGGACTCTGTAGAACGGTGGTCTCGTTGCGGCGACCGCTTCTGCAGAGTCTCCGTCTGGCTTGTCGTGGATCAGGGGACGGCAATTTTTCAGCAAAATGTCGATGAGCAGGACTCGGCTGGAAAACTTTTCCACTATAGCGAAAAGATAGTTTGAACCATGATAGAATTTATTGATTCGATACATTGAGCGTATGTAGCTCACGCTCGCTACGAAACGCCACGATTTCGAAACCTTTGCATTACGTCAAGATTTTTCTCATAGTGCGGAGGTTTCGCCGTAAACAATATGCTGGAGAGCCCCGTCAGAACGAATGGTCGCCATAAGACGAGAACGGCTCGGATTCGTCGCAGGTCGTGGCCCCGAAAGACTCATAGTGCCGTCTTCATGTCGACAGCCGTGACTTCCAGTCGCGAGACTGCCCTGGCTGGGGCAAAGACTTCGCCGCGACGACCCGCGGGAATCCCGGTCGTAAGTGGGGGAAAGCGATGGATATCCCTGGAGCACTGCGATCGCGATCCCGTGTTTGACAGCCAGCCGACACTGCCAGGGACCGGATCTGCGAGCGCCTCTTGTTGCGTCAAAGGAGCCAAAACTGTTGTTTCGCCTCGAAAACTGATATCCTCGGAGGGAACGAAAGACTCGGCTCCTACTACTCTGCTTGCCTGTTTTCTCCATGTCTGATGGACGGCTTCCGCCCTCAGAACTATACTGAGTGTTAGGAGTGTCGAGAAATCGTCTGTCTTCACCCTTCGACGTCCAATGACCCGGAGCCAACTCCACCAGCCACTAGCTCTCCTCATTCGACAATTTTCATAATGCGAACCTTAGCTTCCTGTGGAGGCTTTTTCCCAGGCCATTTTAAGTGAAAAGCAATTATGGGGTCCTTCCAGAGGTCGAGTGAGAAGATCCCGGGAAAAATGGGGCAGTAGAATCTCTACCGGCAAAGGAGCCGTTGCAAGCTCCTTTCTCTGAATCCACCCGATGCCTCTGATCCCTTTGACGAGATGTTGAAGAGCATCGAAATTGGGTCCAGCTGAGACGGGAGTGAAGTAGAGCAAGTTCTTTAAACGACGCCGCGCCTTCGTGAGGCCTTGATGGTCAGCGTTCAGGTAGAGCTCGAGTCCGCTTATGAAAATGAGCTCAGACATGTATTCTCGTGGTCTGTACGGTGGATCCTCTGGAGCAGCGTTTCTCAAACTAGAGGGACGCGTCTCCTGGGGGAGACGCAGGAGAAGTTGCGGGGAGACGCGGAGGATCCCTAGATTTCCCCACCGATTGATTTTCCGTCTCAGAGAGGTCACCCAGCTTATTGCTAGTCTACAATTAGTCTTAGTAATCATTGTACGATTGATAGAGGGAGCCATATTCCTTGGAAAACGGCACTCTGACATGTTCAGGTCGAAACTTTACAATCTCAGATATACGGTGATCTCCTTGGGAGGCGCGCGCGCCCCTCATAAGGCATAGGGGAGACGTGCGGGAGAAAAGTTTGCGAACCGGTGCTCTGGAGAAAACCGTCGACAAGGCTGCTCGACGAGAAACCCGTTCCATGAAGCGACAGGGACCTGTGACTCTTGTGTCCCTGCATTCCTCCGGCCTCTACTTATAAAATGAATCGAGCGGCTCAAATCCATGCGGAACCTAATCAAACTATAATTAATTAGGTCAATCAGGGACCTAGGTAGCGTTCCCTAGGGACAGGCAAATTCATACTCATGAATATGAAGATCTATCCGTAGCATTTCCGATGAATTCGAATATGGAGTATGAATGAACTCATTCTCAAATACTTAAGTTTGAATTTCCCAATATTCAAGTCCGTATTCGCCGGTAATATTTTTTCTCTGCGAATTTCTGATTATATGTCCGAGTCGCCAGTGCATTGTTATAGTCGTATCAACACTCGATGATGTATCTTATATCCAAGGATCCTGGTCTTGGATACTTCTTGGCGTCCGAGTTACTGGAGAACTTCTCCCGGAGGAAACAAAGAAGCCTCTGATTGAAACATAGTTCGCACAGCAAGTGCAACGGAAGGAACCCGGCAATCTACGTAGTACAGGACTCGATCCATGAGTCGATAGAGAGCTCATCGCGTCCTGTGGTAAATCGTTGACTATAGCTATAGATTCGGCTCAGATGTTCTCCGAGCGAGGTCGAACTCCGGAAAGAAATAGCTCCGGAGCGAATTTCGGATTTCAGATCGATATTCTTGTTGGGATACGATTCCGGTGCGACCTGACACCGAGCTCCCGAGATATTCAACAAGTGCTACCCTCTGGGTCTTAGTAAGCTCCCCTACACTTTCTTGTCCATCGTATCCGCAACTGTCCTTCTGCAAAGAGGCATTGAAGTGCCGATTCATAGCGTTTACAGATGTACCTAGCAGCGCCCAGCTTACGCTTTCTGGTATGCGCTCACACTTTTTGAGCGTTCATTATTTATTTCTGCACACCATTCTTCCTGTAAGTCTGGACCTTTGATTCGGGAGCTGAGCTCTCAATGGAGCACCAACGGGAACAGCCGCACCTCATTCAATGGGAGTCTGATCAGAAGGATGGAGCCTGTTTGAAATCTGCACGACCGTTCGCTCAATTCTGAATGTCTTCAATCAATAAGATGCTGTACTCCCCCACGGTCTCAGTTCCAGCGCTCTATTCGCAGCTCTACCGGTCAAACCTCCAAGACCGTGAGGTATCGCCCCGAGTCTACTGCTATAAGAGAATCCCGGAGCATAGGGACAACGACCTAATCGTGAACTGAAAATACAATGCGTAAAATCTCTTGTTTGGGGACTTCTTGCGAAGACGCAATGCTCACACTGAGCTCGAAGCGAGTCATTCTGCGAAGCAAGCAGCTCTCTCCGGCGGTCGTACCGGATCGCCGCATCTGATGATCGAATCCGAGAACCCGAATGCGCGCGAACGCGTGAGCAAATCAAGCTGCAGTGGGGCATAAACAATTATTTACTGAGGGTGTTCAGATACTAAAGTTCTGAGCGCCTCTCCTCCTCGACACAGATCGCTCGTTTGCGGAACGATTGCCGGCCTTCAAAGTGAATCGCTGAAAAACCCATGGGAGTCGTGCGCCTCGATTGCGACGGTCGTTTCGAACTCGCCAATCACCCGGAAACACATCAGGTGCACTTGCTTCGAGCCGCCCTCCGCTCTTGCTCGGATCTGAATGGAGAGATGCAATCGAGCTGGCTAGAGGAGCCCATGGAAAGTCTAATTCTGAACAATATCCAAGCGACAGTGCCTGCGAGGACGCAAATGCTGTCGGTACGCGTCTGTCTCCTCTCCGTCAGTCTGCTTCGGGGCTTGCCGAGAAGAGTTCTCGAGAGGTCGGAGTTCTCACCGGCAAGGAAAAAAATAATTCGCCAAACCCGGCCTAATCTGCAGATAGAGTGCGGAATCTCGGAAAGTTATTGCAGACCTGGATACACAAACACGAGTATTTATTCACCATTAATTTATTATTATTCAATATGATTCAGAGATCTTGTTCGAGTATTCTTCAATGACTATCCGTAATTGTTGTATGATACGATGGCAACATTTTTCCGGAGCTGGACTTCCGATTCAATGAAATATTCAACGTTTCGTACATCAACAATGCACTCTCCATCTGCATGACTCATTCGAGTCATTCAACGAGCAGGGGAGCGCGCCTCCATTTTTCCGGGCGAACGATGGGAAAACTCTCCAGAGAGATCCCGATCAATCGATATCGCTCCCTGTATCGTCGGTATCTGCCGTGTCAAGCCTCTCATATCTGAGGCGGATCGAAGCTCGGATTCAGCATCGCTCACTTCCAGCAGATCGGCGCCAGAAATCAATCAATGCATTCAACGATGAGAATGAACGAATGAGTCGAAGCTCGCCTCGAGCTCACAGGTTCTTCCAACGATTCACGATATCTCAGCTCATCAGTGAAGCGTCTGTGAATATGATTTGCGGTCCCGCTTCCCCCTCCAAGTTAAGCTCGGAATAAATACAATCGGCAATTATGGGCCGGGGCTCAAACGATCATTCTAGGAGTCATCTTCGCTCGGAGCCTCCTCTTTTGGTTCTGGCCGCCAATTCACCGGCACGCTTGGCAGACTGTGCACGTGAAGGTGTCTCTGCAAATGTTGAACTTGCTGATGATGCAGAGCGGCTAGGTGGTGGTAGAATTGTTGAAGGAACATTCCTGGTAAGGGGGCAGGCATCGCTGGTGGTGGAATGCGAGCAACTTCCTGCTCGACTGGACTGATTGGTGAGTCCGGAACGGAAGTCTGTTGACGTCTTTTCGTCTTGTAGCGTCTGTTTTGAAACCAAATTTTCACCTGCGTCTCAGTCAGGCCTAAGGAACGGGCAAGCTCTGCTCTTTCGGGACTCGATAGGTAGCGTTGACTAGAGAATCTCCTTTCCAGAGCGCACACCTGAGCGTGGGTGAACGCCGCTCTGCAGCGTTTCTTTTTGAGGGGCTTCGTTTCGGACGACACGTCTGGAATGAACAATGGATCACCTTTAGTTTTGACGGAGCTCCACAATCGGACTTTCTGCTACACACAGAGCTGCGTGAATCGCCGCTCACGCATAAAACCTCTCTACCCGATCGGTTGAGTTGCTCATG